CAGCTCAAATTCGAAGTGTTAGATATCCAAACTAAAAATTTGCCTGAAAAATATATTTCTGAATTTGATCATATATTTTCATTTTCACACTTTACATTGGTGTTATGATATTAGGTAAGTTAAATTTTTAAATAAATATGGTCTAACAAGTCGCCATCACAGTGTCTTACATAATTGCGATTCTTTGATTCTTAGGCAATCAGAAACATATAATTAATATCGAACTAGTTAACATCGAAACCAAATCTTGAAAAAACATTGAATTCTGATCGGATCAACATCGAAATTGTAAAAATTGTTGATAAATCTTCAATTATCATTTCACATAATGTAAATGTGAATGAATCAACTAATTAATTATATTTAAATGTTTAGCAAATTAAAAGTCATTTTATTAAATTATTAAAAAAAGTCATTTTAATAAATTATCTCATTTAGACTATGGTCATGATTATAATCATAACTATAGTCATGACAAAATTAAAGATAAAATTCTAATCTTATTAAATAAAAAGAATAATCATATTAAATATATATTACTTGTATTTTATGTGTTACATATATACAATAAATAGAATTCTATCTTGAATTCTGTTGCAAATTATATAGCGTGCAAAAAATTTTATAAAATCGGAAGAAAACATTATTATAGATATAACATATAATTGTAAAAACTATATGTTCAAAATCAATACCTCTGATAAAAATGTAATATTGTAATTATAAATTGAAAATCTGTAATTCATATAATAATTTTATTTCAATTTATAATAAGCTAAATATATAATGAACAAAATACTTTTGATGATGTTTAAAAAATTTTTCGATGTTCATCAAGATTGTCTTTGATAAATGCAATGATTACGTGATACTTAATTTTAGTTTTTAATACGTAATATTTTTAAATAATAGAAATTAAAACCTAACTATCAGAGTTATAAATATTGTGTAATAAAAATTAGAAACTAAATATCACTTGTTAATTATATTAGGCTGTGGAGAAAGTAATTTAGATTTTTTCTGAAAAATATATATTAAAATGAAATGATCGCAACATTTTTTTCTATTAAAATAATTGCCGTATGATTCTACTGTTTTCTGTCATTTTTCAGACAGAAGTTGAATTCTGTAACGATAAAAGATCTCCTTTATTGAAAAGAATTCTTCAATTTCTCGATTTTGGCTCTATTTTGAAAGCGTTGCTTTCAAATCGTACTACATCAAAATAGGTAATAATTTAAAAGTGCCCTATCTGAAGAATAGGCAGGAGGACTTCCTAATCGAAGTCGAATAAGATGTTCACGATAATTGCAATGGTATGAGATCGAGCATTGTTTTTTAGAAAGATGGTCTTAAATCGGTTTGAGGCGTATAATGACTATTTCTAGCAATGTCGATTTAAACTGATTGTAGATCTCAGCGATAATTGTTTGATGTCGATTCTACTGAATCTTCTTTTAACGCCTCCATATCTCCTATTTCCACCTCCATTGACTACCCAAGACGCAGTTTGTCTTCAAAAATTTTCACTTTTGAAGTGTTTAAACCATTCTTCATAGAGACAGCATTCTTTTCATATGGCTTACAAATCAGTCGTTTAACTTTGGCAGCATTTTCTTTGAAATTGACAAATATAAGCAGACAATGACGAATATGGATTTTATTTAGCATCTTGTTAAATCAAAATAAACATACATTATGACAGACAAAAAGACTTGTCTTGCAGTAATTTTAATGTAGGATAGACAACTTCAAAAAAAACAAAACAAAAGTTATTAACAAAAATTATTATTACAGGCTGTACCGCCATTTATCCATGACTCGAATTACTTTCTCCCCAGCCTAATATTTAATTATTTAAAATAAAGTTTTGCTTATAAAAACTTAAATTTTTAAATATTTTAAGATCTACAATTATTTTCATTTCTTAACAATTCTATCACATTATATCATAAATTTAAAGAGAAAGAAATAAGAGTTTAATATATTAATTTAATATATCTTATTAAAATAGTTATATCTTATTTTAAGAATCTTATTAAAAATTGAAACTAAAAATCGCGCAATAACATAAAAGCTTCGAAAATTATATATATTTATCTATTCTTTTTTAACAGACAAGCGTTTGAGAATATTTTCCAGATGATTCGACCTGGTGGAAATATTCTTATGCTTATAGTAGCGTCTCATGATGCATATGAAATTATGAAATTTTTGGCTCAAGATATTCGTTTTGCACCATACATACAAGTAAATCTTATTATTTTCATGTTTCATCAATTTTGTAATTATAGACGCTTAATTATTATTCTTACATAGGATGTCAAAAATTACGTTCCGCCATTTAATGATTTAATCACTCCTCATAAAAAACTGAGGAAATTACTTAAAAGTATTGGATTTGATGTTTGCCATTGCAGTCTTCGAGAAGTGACATATTCCTCCCAAAATATGCAAAATTTTTTATGTAAGTTGTTTTATGTAAGTTTTTATGTAAGTTATGTTTTAAAAAAATATAAAAATTAGATTTTATGCTTTATGTAATTATTATCACATAAGGTTGCTTTTCTTATTTATTTAAATCTTAATTTAATTCAATTCTAGTAATTTAATCTAATCTCGATTATTTCGACAGATTCGATATTAGCTATCTACCCATTTTTGGACAAACTGCCACACGATCAAAAAGAAGAATTCAGGAATGAATTTACACGTGAATTTATGAAAAGAAAGCTTACTTGTAAAACAATACAGAATAATCAGGAACAAACAAATTTTATAGATCTATACAAAATCTTAATAGTTTATGCACGAAAAATTGTATAACATTGCATAAATAAATGCAATATTATAATTATAAATTGAAAAATTGAAACTAATAAAAACTGTAATCTTGTTTCAATTTATAATGAGTTAGATATGCAATGCATAAGATATCTTTTATCATAGTAAAAAATCGTTCAATGTTGTCAATATATTTTCTTTATTAATAAATATAATGATTAAGTAATATCCAGTTTTTAGTTTTTATATAACATGTAATATTTATAAATAATCAAAAGATATACGAAAAAAATAAGGACCAAACAAAAACGCAATAATTAGAGCAAATGTTCGTAAATATATAATTACTATTATATAATTAAGACAATGTCTATTAAAGCATATATGTTTCGGTTTATTTCCGAATAGAATGTCCTACCATTTCTAATGCCTAGTCTAAAATCTTTATCTAATTTTCAATCTTATTTTATTTTTTAACAACAGTATGTATAGACAATCAGTCGTATAGTATGTACAATCGATATTTCAAAAATAATCTATTGTAATTGGTCAATTTACTTGAGCCTAATGACTCATTGTAGATTATGTGTAACAAAAACAAATATAAAACAATTGTCTGTACACACTGTTGTTAAAAAATAAAATAAGTTTGAAAAGATTAAATAGAGATAAGTGATAAATGGAAAAGTCAAATATAATGAACGATAAGTCTGCGCATTTTTTGCAAACAAACGTTGAGAAATTTTCAACAGTCGTAATGTATGAAACATTTATTATAATGCATTGTAATCTTTGCGAAATGCTCATCTCCTATAACTAACAAAAATTATTCTTTAGTTCTAAAAACTTTTTCTTCGGTTCAAAAAATTCTTTGATCAAGCTCCAAACAGCTCGTGCAAGAGAAAATTGCGCAGCTTCACTCTCCATATACCAATTGTGTGCCAATTATCATATGTCACTTGATCAAAGAATTTTTCGAATCAAAGAAAAAGTTTTTAGAATTAAAGAATAATTTTTGTCAGTCATAGAAGGTGAGCGATTATTCGTAAAGATTACCCATTGCATTATATGTAATGATTGTTTCGTACAGTGCGTTTATGTGCGGCTATGGAATATTTCTTAATGTTCGTTTGTAAGAAATGCGCATACTTATTGTCATTGTATTTAACCTTTTGACTTATTACGACGAAAACTTATCTCTATTTAACTTTCTCGATCTTATTTTATTTCTTAACAACGTGTATAAATAATCGTTTTAAGCTTTATGTTTATTTTTGTTAGAGATGGTATATTATTCTATTTAACTGTTATCATGTTTTAGTGTATTATTCAATTAGAGAGTCTGAAATAAACCGAAATATGCTTTAATAGACATTACCTTAATTATATATTTACGATCATTTGCTCTAATTATAGCGTTTTTGTTTGGTCCTTATAGCTTTTTTCGTATATGTTTTGATTATTTATAAATATTACATGTTATATAAAAACTAAAAACTAGATATTACTTAATCATTCGTAATAATAAATATATTTATATATTTACCTTTTAATAATATTTTAATAACTTATTTATTCTTTATGCTCTAATAATATAATTTTATTTGTTATAAATATTATAATTTGAAGAAAAAAAATAATTAAATTAAAGTGGCTTGCAAGATAAGTATCTAGGAAAAATTACAAAAACAAGGCAGATAACCACGACATTGATGTACTATGCAAATCTTGGAAAACTAAATTAAATCATCAAAGTCTTAATAGTAATGTTTAATAGAAAATTATAATACAAATCGTATATAAATTACACAGAAATAGGTTGAATCTGGCAGAATTCTAATTGATACAATCAGATTTTTTTCTCAGTGCAGATCCACAGGTTTGCTCTGTTCTTGAATTTCTTTCTCCCCTTCCCCTTCCATGCTATGGGCACGGGCAATGTCTCGTCTTCGCTTGGCTCAGTATTTCGCGCCGTTTCATCTGCGATACATCGGTTGCCTACTGCTCTCGATCTTTTTTGAAATTATTTCATTGCTTGCTGTTATTTCATCTTTCTACATAATTTATTGCTCGTACGTATTGCGGTATATCAATTTTCATATACTTTTAATTTTTAAGCATTTTTATGACTGCAATTTTTATATATATGTTTTTTTGCTTGATTTGTGTGCGAGAATGCGTGTTGCTTTGCCTGCTTTAATTTATTTTTTAGATCCCGGCTTGTCTGCATTATCAATTTAAGGATTGCAAAATAAGGATTGTTTCGGCTTGGTCAGAATGTAGATGTTTTTGCGGTATCTCTGCCGGCCTTATCCATGCATATTCTCTTTTTTGTGCAATCCTTTTTTCCACACAGCTGCAATCTTTGCTGTGTATGATAAGTGAATAACATGCGGACTCGTAGGCATCACCTCATACATATATGTATATTTCTATGTTTTATTTGAGCATTTTGTCTCTCATGAGATTGTAAATTCCGTCGAAACGTTCGCCATTCTTTCTTTGTAATATATTCCATGCTTTTTTTTGTTTAATTAATTATTCATAGGATCGACACTTGACTTGTATTGCTATTATCACTGAATTTTTTTTAATTTTTATACTTCGAGTCTTATATTTTTTATTATTATAAATTCCGTTTGCAAACGGAATTTATAATAATACCAACTTTAATATTATGTACATGGACAATTTTTTGACGAATTTGATATTGACCTTATGTTGCGACTCTATTTCTTTTTATATTATCATTTCTGCGAGCGACTCTATTTCTTTTAATATTATTATTTCTAAAAACAGCATTGAGAAGAATCTGGATGAGATCGAAACGTTTGCACTTATTTTTGTGTAATTTATATACGATTTGTATTATAATTTTCTATTGAACATTACTATTATGACTTTGATGATTTAATTTACTTTTCCAAGATTTGCTTTTCCAAGATCGTACATCAATGCCGTGGTTACCTGTCTTGTTTTTGTAATTTTTTTATTATAATTTGCTTTTTACTAGTTCACAATTAATTTCAAAGAAATTTTATAATAATTAAAATTAATTATTTGTTATTGTAGTTTTCATATTTTCTCTCTCATAATTATTGATATTTTAAAAATATGATTATATAAATATTTTTGTAAGTTAAATTTTGTTGTAATTGAGCATATAAAACTATGAAAATATTACTTTGAATAGACTAAAAATATTATTTTATTACTATTACCTAACTATTACTAATAGTAAACAAATAGAATAAAAAATAAATTAAAAATGCAAACTCATTCAATTTTTTTCGTCATTGATAAAAAGCCTAGGGATAAGCATGTAAAAGTTGCTTCCGCACAAGTCGATATTGGCATCATGGATTGGGATCTTTCGAATCCACTTTTGATTACCCCCCTCCCCTCGCCGCACGATTTTTTTTTGCTCAGATATACAAGATTATAAGATGGCCATGCATAAGGATTTAATAAGCCATTCTAAATCAACTGTGCCTCTTTTTTATTTCACTACAAATTAAAATTAGGGTAAAATATACATTTTTAAATACTTTCTGTCACCTTTTGAAATTAAAAATGGCGCATCCAATATGGCGAATAGAATTATAATAAAAAGGCATAAAATTTAGAAAAAATTATCAAAATGTGTAACAACTGTATTAGACATTTCTTTACAATATTTTTTTGGCCAACCGAACCTGACATATGTCAGTCTTTCCAAATTTCAGGATTATGGATCTACCATATTGATGTCTATATAAATTTTCTTTAACGTAAATTTTCTTACAACGTACTTCATACTTATATATCTCAGCGAAAAAAAATCGTGCAGCGGATTAATCGAAAGTGGATTTGAAATGCGAAAATGAGTATTATACGATGTCATTGGCAGAAATATTTCAAAAAATTTGGTTTCCTCGCAATAAATTCATGAAATTGGTCAAAATAGCGATTTTTGAGCCATTCAATTACAAATTACTAAAAAACGTGACGTGCTACGCAAATTCGGCGGCCAGATTCGAATTCAGCTCACAAAATTACATCGGAAATCACTATTGCATCTTAAAAACAGATACCTCGCAAGCCTGTGCTATCTGTCATAAGCTTTAGAAAGTTGAAAATAAATGAATAGCGGATTCGGGAGGTGCCAAAGATGACATATGATGACAGACTAAAATTAGTTTAATACTCGTATAATGTCAACCGGTCAGTCGAAATAGATATACGTGGCTGCAGCGAGAATGTGCTGTGAAAGCGTGATGCATGCATGATTTTCATCATTTTTCACCATGAAAGACCTCTATGAAAAATTTGGAAAAAATAGATGTTAAAGCAGACATTTTAAGGTTTTCTTTAAAAAAAAAATTTAAGGTGTATCTCTAAAACGTAACCTTGAAAACCAAAGAAATTTTAAAATATTCAAAAATTGTTTTTACTTGTATTTTTGTCAGAATTTTTTTTTAATTTATTCTCAAAATAGTCTTGTTAATATTTATAACATATATTTTTTTCATCAAAATTAGTTCAGCGGTTTTCGAGAAAAATAACTTTTTTGATTTTGCTTTCCCTCTCCATAATTCCTATAAAAATGCAATTTTAAGGTTGATATTTACAGGATTTTTTAGACACATAGATGCCAATCCATGATACCAATCTCGACTTGATACGTGCAGAGGCAACTTTTACATGCTTCTGTATCCCTATCATATAACAGAGTATATAAGATTGTCTTTTGAAATAGTCTCGAACTACACAAAAAATAAAGATTTATTCAAATTGTAAAAATAATGAATGCGAAAGAATATGCTTCTTGTAACGATGTGCAAAAACAGCATGTATTGAATTTAATCGACGAATTTGAGGAAGATATAGCACAAATGTCTGGTAAATGTATGGATATTGGTTGTGGACCTGGAGATATAACAAAAAATATCCTTTTACCAGCCTTAAATTCAAATGCAGTAATAATAGGTAAGAAAACATACGCATAAAATAATGTTTATAACAATACATATACATTTATTACATAAGTTATTATTTAATTCAATAATTGTATATTTTCTGTAGGTACCGATATTTCGGAAAATATGATCAAATTTGCAAAAAAAACATATTCTAATGAGAAACAGCTCAAATTCGAAGTGTTAGATATCCAAACTAAAAATTTGCCTGAAAAATATATTTCTGAATTTGATCATATATTTTCATTTCACACTTTACATTGGTGTTATGATATTAGGTAAGTTAAAATTTTTAAATAAATATGGTCTAACAAGTCGCCATCACAGTGTCTTACATAATTGCGATTCTTTGATTCTTAGGCAATCAGAAACATATAATTAATATCGAACTAGTTAACATCGAAAACCAAATCTTGAAAAAACATTGAAATTCTGATCGGATCAACATCGAAATTGTAAAAATTGTTGATAAATCTTCAATTATCATTTCACATAATGTAAATGTGAATGAATCAACTAATTAATTATATTTAAATGTTTAGCAAATTAAAAGTCATTTTATTAAATTATTAAAAAAAGTCATTTTAATAAATTATCTCATTTAGACTATGGTCATGATTATAATCATAACTATAGTCATGACAAAATTAAAGATAAAATTCTAATCTTATTAAATAAAAAGAATAATCATATTAAATATATATTACTTGTATTTTATGTGTTACATATATACAATAAATAGAATTCTATCTTGAATTCTGTTGCAAATTATATAGCGTGCAAAAAATTTTATAAAATCGGAAGAAAACATTATTATAGATATAACATATAATTGTAAAAACTATATGTTCAAAATCAATACCTCTGATAAAAATGTAATATTGTAATTATAAATTGAAAATCTGTAATTCATATAATAATTTTATTTCAATTTATAATAAGCTAAATATATAATGAACAAAATACTTTTGATGATGTTTAAAAAATTTTTCGATGTTCATCAAGATTGTCTTTGATAAATGCAATGATTACGTGATACTTAATTTTAGTTTTTAATACGTAATATTTTTAAATAATAGAAATTAAAACCTAACTATCAGAGTTATAAATATTGTGTAATAAAAATTAGAAACTAAATATCACTTGTTAATTATATTAGGCTGTGGAGAAAGTAATTTAGATTTTTTTCTGAAAAATATATATTAAAATGAAATGATCGCAACATTTTTTTCTATTAAAATAATTGCCGTATGATTCTACTGTTTTCTGTCATTTTTCAGACAGAAGTTGAATTCTGTAACGATAAAAGATCTCCTTTATTGAAAAGAATTCTTCAATTTCTCGATTTTGGCTCTATTTTGAAAGCGTTGCTTTCAAATCGTACTACATCAAAATAGGTAATAATTTAAAAGTGCCCTATCTGAAGAATAGGCAGGAGGACTTCCTAATCGAAGTCGAATAAGATGTTCACGATAATTGCAATGGTATGAGATCGAGCATTGTTTTTTAGAAAGATGGTCTTAAATCGGTTTGAGGCGTATAATGACTATTTCTAGCAATGTCGATTTAAACTGATTGTAGATCTCAGCGATAATTGTTTGATGTCGATTCTACTGAATCTTCTTTTAACGCCTCCATATCTCCTATTTCCACCTCCATTGACTACCCAAGACGCAGTTTGTCTTCAAAAATTTTCACTTTTGAAGTGTTTAAACCATTCTTCATAGAGACAGCATTCTTTTCATATGGCTTACAAATCAGTCGTTTAACTTTGGCAGCATTTTCTTTGAAATTGACAAATATAAGCAGACAATGACGAATATGGATTTTATTTAGCATCTTGTTAAATCAAAATAAACATACATTATGACAGACAAAAAGACTTGTCTTGCAGTAATTTTAATGTAGGATAGACAACTTCAAAAAAAACAAAACAAAAGTTATTAACAAAAATTATTATTACAGGCTGTACCGCCATTTATCCATGACTCGAATTACTTTCTCCCCAGCCTAATATTTAATTATTTAAAATAAAGTTTTGCTTATAAAAACTTAAATTTTTAAATATTTTAAGATCTACAATTATTTTCATTTCTTAACAATTCTATCACATTATATCATAAATTTAAAGAGAAAGAAATAAGAGTTTAATATATTAATTTAATATATCTTATTAAAATAGTTATATCTTATTTTAAGAATCTTATTAAAAATTGAAACTAAAAATCGCGCAATAACATAAAAGCTTCGAAAATTATATATATTTATCTATTCTTTTTTAACAGACAAGCGTTTGAGAATATTTTCCAGATGATTCGACCTGGTGGAAATATTCTTATGCTTATAGTAGCGTCTCATGATGCATATGAAATTATGAAATTTTTGGCTCAAGATATTCGTTTTGCACCATACATACAAGTAAATCTTATTATTTTCATGTTTCATCAATTTTGTAATTATAGACGCTTAATTATTATTCTTACATAGGATGTCAAAAATTACGTTCCGCCATTTAATGATTTAATCACTCCTCATAAAAAACTGAGGAAATTACTTAAAAGTATTGGATTTGATGTTTGCCATTGCAGTCTTCGAGAAGTGACATATTCCTCCCAAAATATGCAAAATTTTTTATGTAAGTTGTTTTATGTAAGTTTTTATGTAAGTTATGTTTTAAAAAAATATAAAAATTAGATTTTATGCTTTATGTAATTATTATCACATAAGGTTGCTTTTCTTATTTATTTAAATCTTAATTTAATTCAATTCTAGTAATTTAATCTAATCTCGATTATTTCGACAGATTCGATATTAGCTATCTACCCATTTTTGGACAAACTGCCACACGATCAAAAAGAAGAATTCAGGAATGAATTTACACGTGAATTTATGAAAAGAAAGCTTACTTGTAAAACAATAGAGAATAACCTGGATCAAACAAATTTTATAGATCTATACAAAATCTTAATAGTTTATGCACAAAAAGTTAAAATAAATTCAATTAATAAATAACAACATTGCATAAATAAATGCAATTTATAAATGCATTATAATTACAAATTGAAAAAATAAATAAAGTATTTTTATGATAATTTAAAAATTCTTCAATATTGTCAATATAATCTCTGTTAACAAATACAACAAATAAATGATATCTAATTTTTAGTCATCAAATATTTAGACATCTTTTATTTTTAGGTATTTAGTTGTTTATAAATAGTAAAAGTTAGAAACTAAGTTATAAAATCATGTACTAAAAATTAAAAACTAAATATCACTTACTCATTAAATTTATTATTATTTAAAATAAAGTTATGTTTATAATTTTAATGTACATTTTTAAATATTTGAACATACAATATTTTAAGATAATATTTCTTAATAGTTATATCGTATTACAAAATAATTTTAAAAAGAGAAAAAAAAAGAGAGAGATAAATGTATTTAATATATATATATTTTATATATATATATATATATATATATATATATATATTTAAAATTTTATTAAAATGATTATATTTTATTTCAAGAATTTTATTAAAAATTGCTTACACATACACACGCACGCGCGCGTGCGCGCACACACGCACGCACACACACCCATACAGACATATTTACATATATACAATCATAGAGTTTGTTCTAAAAATTTAGCTTTTTTATATAGAATTTAAATCTTTTATCAAATGTTTTCAAATCTTTTTATTAAAAAATCATTAAAATGTCAATAGAACAAACATTAACGTTATTATAAATTGTAAAATAACGCTATTAAAATTATAAAAAACACTATCATTTACATAACTATCGTAAGACATTTCTAATTACTACATTGCGATATTTGATATCTTTTGCTAATCAATCAAAACTTTCTAACGTTGCTGACGTTTTTTCTGTTTTTTATAAAAAGATTGGATTCACATAAAGTAACTTCTTCTAACAGTATGAATAAAATACTTTAAAATATTACTAATAAATCTCGCTCAGTATATATGAACTAAATGAACTTAATAATATTCACTCACAACTGCACTTGACTCACATCATCAGAGCATCAATCAAACACTATTAATAATAATAATTGTTAAATTGTATTGTCATATTATCAAATTTTCCTGAATTGACATACAATATAACGCATAAATAATGCATATTCTTTTAGGGATATACATAAAGATGTATTATTTAATTTTGAATATAAATATAGTGTCAAATGCATAATTATTATTATATTTCTAATTAGATATTTAAATAACATTTTACTAAAATTTATTATTATGTGATCTTAAAATTTATTAACTTATTTTTGCCTATTACAAAATGCTAATTACAGGTTTCTGAAAAAGTCAAATTAACATTCTCATTAACAACATTTATCGATGATTTTAATAATGAAACAATTTATTTTAGATATAAACAGCTTGTACAATTGGGCTTTTATTATAGTTGCAATATTTTATCAAATAATTACATTTTTTATTTAATAGATGAACATTTATGAATATTTATTGTATGCTTTGATTAGATGAAACTATGCTTATATATATTATTGATAGTATTTTATCCAGTATATGTGAAGTTTTTATGACGTAAGATACCCGCTTTGTATTATTTATGCGGGCAAATATTATTATTTATATATCTGCACTAATTACTTATTATTCTGAAACAAACACATACACATTCTTTACTTTAATTATATATTATAATTGTTATTTGTATTATATAGTTTCTATACAATTTTATTTATTGAAATTAAAATATTTTACAACAATAGGATTTTATTTATAATTCATTTATATATATTGATATGTAATAACAATTTTTTTGATAGCTTTCCTAATGACCAAATAATAATAAATGTATATGAATGAAAAATGTATTCTTGATCAAATTTTATTCTAATATTAATAACATATTGCTCAATAGATAAATATAAATTTTAAACAATTTCAATAAAAACAATTTCAATAAAAAATGAAATGTATTATAAATAAAATAAGAAACATACACATAATACACACAAAATGCAGATTTGAAGTACATTATTAATTTTATTATGTCCATAAGAGTCTTTGTATTTTGAGCGTATATATAATATATATATATATTTTTTTTTCTTATTGAATAGAAATTACGCAAATTTAATTTTTGAAGTTATAGAAATAAAACTTTTCTTTCTTTTTTTAATATCAATATTAATCTTTTATAAATATGAATGTATGTACATGTATATGTGTATATATAGAGAGAGAAAAAGAGATAGAAAGGAGAAAAAGAGAAGCAGAGGAGACACACACACACACACACACACACATACACACACACACACACACACACACACACACACACATACACACACACACACACATGATAGTTATTATTATTGTATTTTTTTATTTTATTATATATATATATATATATATATATATATATATTATTTTATTAATGTAGTTATTATTATTATTTCATTTTTATTTATTTAGAAAACAATAAAAGAAGATAATAGCATGAAAAAATTAGATGCTTTACAATATATAAAAATGTTACATCGTAAATATTTAATACACTCTATAAATCTCTACTAATTGTAAAATTTAACATAAATTGTATTAATTCAAAAAATCTAAGAAATATGAGAAAGCGGTGATAGAATTAAATTACAACATCTGTAGAATTTTTTATTTTATTTTATGTATTGTTAAGATTAATGAATTAATTTAATAATTTTAATTTTTTAAATCTTTATTATACTACACATAAAAAGAGCAATGAATAATTAATTAATAAAAATAATTAATAAAAACACGTTAAATAAACAGCAGTGTTTAAATATTCAGACAAACAAGTAATACGCAAAATTTGGGTCAGTAGTCTCAGATGTTTTGCTTTCAATGGTGAATGTGGGTTAGTGAAACCTGCGGACCGCATTACCGATGATTCTTGCCGAATTAAAGTGCAATAAATATGCTCAATTAAAAGGAAAAACTCAGAGAGAGAGACAAAGAGAGACAGAAAAAGAAAGTATGCAAATTTTATCTGTAATTTTCATGATTTTTAAGTGCTCCAAATAATATTTAAATGCCAATACTTATCTCTCACAATCAGTGATAATATTATATATTTTTATGTTCAATATTTTTAACATACTTTTCTCATTATTTTTTACTGTCTGAAATAAACTAGAAAAACTCTGGATTTATATTTTGTGAAATGTGTTTTATTATAACTTGCTTTTATTATTCCAAAATATCTTCGCTGCGCAGGCATGTAAAATTTTTAACAAAATTTCCCCTTTCGACAACATTCTTGCCGTCGAAAGAGAAATTTTCTGTATACTTCACACGAAAGCGTGTCTCAAATTCTATGAGTGGGGATAAGTGAATTGCATGGTAAAAGCAATGTGCATGTGATATATTGTAGTGAGACGAAGCTCTCTAACAGTATAATACCAAGATTCGACCTTTCACCTCCTCTCTCAATGATTTCTTTCAGTTTATTTTCTATATAACCTTTATCACATACAAGAGAAGATGTCGCGCAAATAATCATATGTATTTAGTTCACGACACGTACTTACTTTTCTTAGTTAGTGATAGTATGATTTATATTACACATCTTTAATAAAAGTGAAATACATTTAACTCAAAAAGCTATTATTTTGCATTAGATAATAATTGAAATTTCATAATATCAATTGTTTAATTATAATATTATATACTATAAATTGTTTAAATTAGAGCTAAAAAATTTGACTTTTTATTTTGAAAGATATATATACTGCTTTGAACAATATCTAATTAAAAATAAAAAGAGATATTATTATAAAACTTTCTAATATACAACAATAATATACAATATACAAATAATAATTTGTAAAATTGTCATTTGATACATTTGATTACTTTATTAAAATTACGCACACTCTATCTCTCTCTTTCTCTCTCCCTCTCTTTCTCTTTCTCTCTCTCTCTCTCTCCTTTCTCTCTTTAACATTATTTTAATAATGAATTATTCGAAAAAAAATAAGAAATGAAGAAAATTGTTCAATTATATAAGAAACAACATACGAAAATATTGTACATAGTGAACATTTTTGGAATATAAGATTATTGGAGGAGTTTTGCTTCGCATTTTTATGCAAAAATAAAAAAATACGCCGTTATTTCTTCTGATTCTTTGACAAATTGAGAAAATTTACAACATTTGTACTGTGTGTACTGAATGGGACCGGGGCGATGGTAGCGGAGTGATAGTGAAAGAAGAACTTTCTTCGCAACCATAAAGACCGGCTAGCTCTCGGTCGATCAGTTCAACTTCTTTGTGGAACTAAGGTGAAAGCGCGCAAGAACGACGGTCATCTTCGACGGACTCGAGTATCTCATAGCTTCTCCACAAAATTCACAGAAACGAAAAGGACGGTGCTGGAGAGCGAAATTGTCACCGAATGTTCGTACGTGTGCAATATAATGCATGTTTCTTGTGGAATCCTGAGAAATGCATGGTGTATAGTGCTATATTGATAAAAAGAAGAGCATATTTATAATTTTGAATGACATTTGTGAATGACAAATGGAAAATGTTTTTGCACGTGTTTCGTTACAAGATCCCGATCTTAATCACTTTCTACGTACTGTCAATCAAAAGTCATCGACTTCATCGAAATAGTGTAATAGCATCAGTGATCTCTACTGTGAGTACTAATTCGACGGAGATAAAAAATTTCAAGACAGCAAGAGATTATGTAAAAAATAAATTTTATGTATGTTTTGTGTTTGTGGAATGGTCTTATGAAATTGGAGTTGTTATAAATAGTTATCATAATCATACATATATTATTGACTTTTTTGTCAGTTTACGAAAACCTTTCATTATACCTTTCAGTTTATCTTTTCAGTAAAAAAGTTTTATGTAATTAATCTAAATTAATCTAATTAGTAAAACTTATTTGTATACATATACACATAGAAAATATATCACATTGATATCTTGTCTCTAATTTAATTTTTTCTTTAAAATAAAACAAGTTATATATATATATATATATATATATATATATATATATACATTTTTTATAAAATTTATTTATATTTATGTACTTATTTGTATATATTTTATAACATTTGTGTATACAGAAAAAAAGACAAGAAAAAGAAAAGTGTGTTAATATTTATAAATTTATTATAAATTTCAAATTCCATAAATATGTGCTTATAACTTGCTTTCATTTAGCAATTAATTGTTTACAAAACGCCATATTATGCAGTAGGTTTAATGAAATATAAAATGGGATTTCTTCATTCTCGTTTATTCTAGCAATTGGGATAAATTATGCATCAGCGAATTAAAGAATACATATAAATGTTACGTGCACGCAATGCTTACGAGATATTTAGTTAGTCAATACCGAAGACAATTTGACAGCTTAGACCTTGACCTATAATTCTGATCATGGTTACTTTCTCTCATCTTTTATGTCGTTTTTGCGGTGGAAAGTGAGCGCGCTTGACTAGCGCCGATCATTTGCATATTGCTTTCAGGAAAATTCTTTGAATAATTCGCAAACTCGTAACGGAAGGTTTTTATTTGATGAATTATTTGGTATCGACATTGCCACTGATATTGAAACGGATGACGAAAAATTAAGAAACTGCACATGCGGTAAGAATTTTTCTATAAATTAAATTAATTTTTTCTAATATGATAATAATAATATCATTAATTGTTAATAAAAATATAAAAATGTCAGTTTATCTTTTACAATTACATTATAATCTTATAGAAAAACTTATGCAATAAGCATACAATGCAATGCTCTTTTAATTTATTTTTACCAGAGAAATGATAATTCTTTATAAATTTAATATTTTACTCTTCTTTATACGTATAAATAAAGTCACGTTAAAATTTTTTGTAAAATATTTAAAATTAATAAAATAATAAAATATCTATCTGGTATCATTTTTAGAATGCGGTTTATTTAATCAAGAAAATCGAATTGTTGGTGGGCGTCCTACGCTACCGAATAAATATCCCTGGGTTGCAAGGCTAGTATATGATGGTCGTTTCCATTGCGGTGCTAGTCTGCTTAACAACGATTATGTAATTACCGCTGCTCATTGCGTACGCAGGTATATATTTTGTATTTCAATATATATATATATATATATATATATATATATGTAATAAAAAAATTGCTAATAATTAACAATAAAACAAAATATTGTAATATATTGTAATAAGAATTAAAAACATTAAAAAATTACTAAAAATAACATTATTTTTAAAAATACCATTTTTAATATAATATAATCTTAATCGTGCAACAAATGGTTTTTTATTAATATATCGATCTCCTTGAACATATTGTATCATGAATTAATTTAATAATATATTAACATATTTTTAACATATTAGATTGAAGCGTTCAAAGATTCGCGTAATACTTGGCGATTATGATCAATACGTAAACACTGATGGAGTTCCTATTATGAGAGCAGTGAGTGTTGTAATACGTCATAAGAATTTCGATATGAATTCCTATAATCATGACGTGGCTTTATTAAAATTACGCAAATCCGTAAAATTTTCAAAGAAAATTCGACCGATTTGTTTGCCTCAATCAGGTAATATGGATATAAAATAGTGATCTTCTTTAACACATTAAATATTCTTGTATTTATTCTTAATATATATTATCTATAATATACAGGAAATGATCCTGCTGGAAAAGAAGGAACAGTAGTGGGATGGGGTAGAACATCGGAGGGAGGAATGTTGCCTGGAAAAGTGCATGAGGTACAAGTACCTATATACAGTCTAACGCAATGTCGAAAAATGAAATATCGAGCAAATCGAATTACTGAGAATATGATTTGCGCGGGCCGAGGTAATCAGGACTCTTGTCAAGGTGATAGTGGTGGTCCCCTTCTTGTTCAGGAAGCAGATAAACTTGAAATAGCAGGTGAAATATATTTGTATTCATTATAATAATTATATTATATTTTTTAATTGTTATATTTTTAATTTTATAAACATATAATTATTAATTTATAATTATTGATTGTGAGGTTTAAATAAATAAACGTTGCGTAAAAAATATTCTTTCTCTAAATAACTTTATATTTATGTGATTAAATATAACAAAATTGTAGAAATCACGTTACTGTTGCAATATTTTTGTTCGCCTACAACTTATGTGTATTATACATATATAATAGGTATAGTGTCTTGGGGTGTAGGCTGTGGTAGACCTGGTTATCCCGGAGTTTATACGAGAGTATCACGATATCTCAATTGGATACATACAAACATGAAGGAAGGCTGTATATGCAATTGAAGATCTACTTTTGCACCTTAAATATATAAATTTTCAAAGCATTTCAAGTATATAAAATTTCAAAACACATATAGTGATCATAGTCAAACGTGCTGCAATAAGTACATTTTATATACATGATTTACATCTGATCAATATCTACTAATCAATCAGCTGATACTACAAAGAATATAAAAATATCTTATGAGAGAGAATATCAAAAAATCGACATTTAATACTAAAACATAAGAATTATACAAGATATATCAATAAAATGCAAGACAATTAATAAATATATATATGGACAGAAAGATATATCACTGCAAAAATTATGTGCAGAAATTCTCGATACTAATAATACTACAATTTGAAACTGCAAGTTTAAAGTTATTATTACTAAATAAACGAAAATCATTACAAAGATTAAATGAATCAATTTTATGAGATAAATGATATTACATCTCATTGTCAGTTAAATAGAACTACAACAAAGTTTTCATTGAAAGAACAAGATTCTTTTCAAGATAAATTTTTATCTTTAAGGCACAAATAATTGACTCGGGAATCGAATCCGAGTTTTTTGCTTTCCGGGCAATTGCTCTTAATTACTGAGATAATCAGATCTCACACCTAATAATAGCTACTACTGGAACCTCACTCAATGGATGCAATGTCGATTGCTACAGAGATGGACCGACTATTAAAATGATCATTTGTTAACCAAATGAAGCCGGTGGAAATATTTGCATGCAATACTGGCTTCCGAATGATCTTCCGTAGATACGGTATCGATGTTGATAACAATTGCGTAGAAACTGAGTTCAAAACTACTCAATGGAGTATTTAATATAAAGTTCCTTGCATGTAGGCCATTATTATTGTTATTAATTAGCACTTGTTTATATTCTCACTTGTATATTAATAAATAGTACGAAAAATATATTATATTTTTATGGAATAATGGAGTATGGAATATTTTTGATAATCTTTGTACGATTTATAGCACAACCATACTTAGCTCGCTCCACACGTTTCTATCACGCATTTCCAATCGTATGAATAGCGGTCGAACGTTTCCGGAATAATCAGCAACTGATAACGGTTCACTGTCAAACCGAGCTAAAATTAACGTATGCAAATGTAAAAACACCTTCGCACATGCAATTTTGTACATAATTTAGCGTTGGTCGTAATTTTACATATTATTATAATATATATAATTTATATATTATATAACATATAGTACAATAATAATATAAACTTGAAATATATTCGAAATATGTACACACACACACACACACACACACACACACACACACACACACACACACACACACACACACACACACACACACATATATATATAAGTTTAGAGTAATATTTTGATAGTTCAAAGAACATTACGTACATTTAAATGAACCGCAATAATAATTTGCAATAATAATTTGTTTTATATTTACATACAAGTCAAATCTTATAAAATATAATTTCAATATCTTTATCAATATATTTTACAATTAGATGTGTGTGCATGTGTGATTCATTAAAACTTATCATTTACGCTCAATCAGTTTTCAATGAGTTAAATTTTATAAGGAATTGAAATAGTATAAAGTATAATATTAAAATATTTATGTTTTACATGTATTATTTATTAAAACATTCATTTCTTAATTATTATTAATCAGTAGTTTTACGATATTAATAATAAATAAAGAAAATTCTAAATTCTACAAATATTATTTTAAAATTTTTATGTCCTTTTGCAGAAATATAAAATCGATGGCCAATTATAACGATGACGTAGTTGCAGAACCTGATCTTCAACCGAAACTAGTTCTAAGAGATAGTACAACATCGGGTACGATAGCAAACAAATAAATTTCGTTATAAATTTTAGTCGAAAGTGGAATATCAGGGTTTAATCTACGCTATATAATAAAACTATTTTCTTTTCCCAAAACTCGACAAAAGATATCATTAATACGAATTATTCCTGGTTGACGCACAAAATGCATATGAGCATACAATAAAATATATAAATGAATATTCATATACAACCTGTTCTTCTGCAATCTTTTTTATTTCTATTAAGAATTTTATTTCTATTTTTTATTTCTATTCTTACTGGCATGTTGAAATAATATATGTAATAGTATATATTAATTAAATCTATATAAAATCATTGTTTTAAAAGATACCTCATATTTAGCAATATTGTAATATATCTTTACTTAACAAATAATTATCTAAAGAATTAATTTTTGTACTAGAAGAAAGAAATAATTAATCAACCTATTAACGTAATCATTTTAATATCCATGCTTTACAAATTTCAAAAAAAAATAAAGAAACAATTAATATAACAATTAATATATATAAATTTCTCTTTATTAAAAATATTATATTTTATCAAATGAAAAAGACATTAATATCAAACGTTTATTAATATCAAAATTTATCAAAACATAAATCACATCTTTGAAATAACTCCGAATATGATAATTGACGATGCCATCGTGGCCATGATGACGGTCAATAACAGTCATCCGTGATTCGACCCTGAACATGAACGTGAACTGGTCAGGTACCGGCCGACCGGCTGTGCCCGTCTTGCCTTCCGGAATAGCAATTACCTCTTCGACCTCAGTCCTCCGCACTCGGCGTAGGACGTCGACGATAGTCGCTCTCAGTCAGGGACATGTCCATGACTCGTTCTTGACAGTGCCCAAGTGGCAACTTTCTCCCAAAAATATCTCCTTTAAGATCTTAATCTTTAAAGTGAATTAAAGTGAATTAAAAGTGTCACATTATCAGTGCAATTATCAATTCATGAGGGGTTCAATCAGGTCGCAGAACATGAAACTTCTACGTTATTTAGGTTTATTATTCATTCTACTTTTGACGATGGAAAAATGCCAGGTAAACAAATTTTTCTCGTGTACATTCTTTATAAATTTCTTTTCATAATATGCAGTCACTGCTGTTCCATTTTCAAAGTAAGGGGAAACTTTGAAAACAAAAATCTGCATGTTTAAAAATTAAAATTCTTTAAAGAAATAATGATGAAAAAAAGATTTTAATTTTGATTTAAAATCTTAATCTCGACTTAAAGTTTTATCTATCACGATTATACTCGAGATATTGCCAACAAATTGCAAATATATAATTTTTAAATAGCTTTGACAAAATAAACATTTTTTGCTGAAATAAAAAAAATATGTGTGCACAATTATGAATATGTATAATTCTTTCCTAAAGTTAAAAATAATTATAATGAATATTATTATTTCTTATTATTCTTGACAATGTTATTTATTATTATTTATAAATCCATCTATAAATAGAAATTTATATATCTTTATATTTAAAATATATATGATATAAGTAAAATTATAGATTGTATTCTCAAAATGATTTTATTAGTAACGCACATTGATCAGTCAATATTTATAATCACTTCGATTTTAGGCTGGGGCATTCAATAATAAAATAAAAAATTTCTTTGGACTTTTTGGTAATAAGCCACCTACTAACTCTAATGATTCACCTGCTCCTTGCTACTGTAGTGAGTAACTTTAATTTGTTCCTCAATTTATTTTGTTCGCCAATACAACATTAAGAAAACATATTATAGAGAGAATATATCATTTAGGTTGTGGACTACGAAACGAAGAAAGTCGTATAGTTGGTGGTACAACAACGAATATGAATGAATTTCCATGGGTAGTTAGATTATCGTATCTAAACAAGTTTTATTGCGGCGGAACATTAATAAATGATCGTTACGTCCTGTCAGCCGCACATTGTGTGAAGGGGTAGGTATGATTTATAAATTTTACGTATATTTAATGGAAGTAAAATTAATATTAGGATCTGGTTAATTTTAATTACAACTACTGTATAATTTTTGTCATAAAAACCTTATATTAATGCTTTATTATTTCTTAAATATTTTTAATAAGAATTTTTAACATCGATTTTTATTAATAATATAATATAATTACAAAAAAATTTAACATATTCTATTACTTGAATATAATAATACAATAGGAGATATGTTTATTTTTTATCTTTTTGCACATACATAAAGGAAAATATTGAAAATTTAACATTATTTTTATAATTAGTATAAATGTATAAAATTGCTATCATTGGATTCACTACAAAATGCGTAAACAAGTTGAACTTCATATTTGCATCCTCAATTAGTGTCACGCTATAAGGAAAAGTTTAGTGCCGTTAGCTTCTCTATCCTGAAGCTAAATTATTCAATTCTTAACGATTTGCTTACAATTTGCTTAATATTTTGCTTAACCACATATCAATTTACTTTGCCTATTTAAACTTTAATAATATAAATCATCATATAAGTACAAACATCTCTTTAACAACTAGTTTATACATTCAATACATAGTAAAATAAAAAAGACAAAATTTAAAGTGTAGAGAGATCTGAAATTTTTGCTTAATATATAATTTATTGAATATTTATGTATTATTAAATATATTTCTTACTAATATAACTTTTATTAATATATACATGTTAATAATATAATATATTCCTTGAAAAATTTATAAAAAATTTAATCTGAATTTTATATTGCTGATAAAAATTGCAAAAAATACATTTTACTAAAGGCCTTTAAAGTTTGGGGAAAAAATTGAAAATTGGCTGTATTTCAGAAAAATTATTATTTGATCTTGATTTTGACGTTACCCCTCTCTTGAGAAATAAATAAATTTGCATTGCGGGTGTTTGATCAATTTCACACACATCAATTTTTAAATTTTAGCTTGGAGGGAAGTTCATTTGCGGACCTATGTTCATAAAAAAAGTCTTATTTTGACCTCTAGAATATGCTTCTAAAGTTTAGTGCATCATTTCAGATACACTCTGTATAAGTAATATAAGTTTTAAGATTTTCCTGTTAAATGTTCTTCTATTTTGAACAAATTTTTCCATCACAATCTTATTTGCCAGGCGAATGTGATCAGTTTTTCTAGTCTTATTTTCAGATTTATGTGGTTCATGATCAAGGTTACTTTCGGAGAACATGATAGATGTCTCGAAAAGCCAACAGAAACCAGATATGTGGTACGTGTCATGACCGGTGATTTTAGTTTTTTGAATTTTGACAATGATATCGCACTACTTCGTCTCAATGAGAGAGTGCCATTGAGTGACACGATACGACCAATATGTCTGCCATCAGTATTGGGTAAATATTATTTATTAATATTTCTTATATAAATATGTCTATATACACACACACACACACACACACACACACACACACACACACACATGCATATACGTGCACACATACGATAAAATAACGAGATATATGATAAAAATATTATTAAATTTCATTGCATTGAAGGAATTAAATAACTATCTGCTCATAAAAGTTATTAAATCTTAATTCAATATATTTTTAATAATTTCCATGATTTTTCTTTCTAACTTTATTATGACATATAATTTTTGCTGAAGCATGTGCCTATTATAGTATAGTCACAATCTTATATGCCAAATGCATTATCGATATATCTACCTTCGATATACACTGATAATTTCATGCTTGATCGATATTAAATTAGCGTATCTACAATTAATTTTAACAAACACGATTTTTCATAATCGAGCGTAATATTGAACAATAATGCGCGCTCTACGACGAGCCGTCATGTTTATTATGCCACGATTACGCGATAGTCGGCTATAAATTAGAGAATATATACGGGTACCTCTCTCGATTGTAATGTGTATATGTATCATCGAAGCATACATATACACATATAATTGCGTAATAATGAAGATTTCTGTTTGAAATCGAGGTCTTAAATTTGCATTTTGAACGCTCGCGATAATATTTTTTGAATTTGTTAATGTGCAGTGACATGGTACATTTATAAACATATTTACTGCAAACGTATTCACACCAATAATAGATTACATAATAGATTCATATCCAAAAATTCTCTCTTTCTTTAAATGATTTTCATATAACTTTTATTTTATACTTTTAATAAAAAAATAATTATAAATTTTTTGATGAGAGTTTTAATTATATCTATGTGTGCAATTATATATTAAATTGGACAATATTAGTTAGCCAAGATGTTAAAAAGAATCTTTTATTAATTGCATTTTTATAGAATGCAGAATGTTTTATAGTTGTTTAATTATTTATTATAATATGTAATGTAAAATTATCTTCCAGATAATGAATACATAGGTGTAAATGCAATTGCGTCTGGTTGGGGCACATTAAAAGAAGATGGCAAACCGTCCTGTTTTCTCCAGGAAGTCGAAGTTCCGGTTATGAGTCTTCAGGCTTGTCGAAATACCAGCTATAGTCCCCGAATGATCTCGGATAATATGCTATGCGCGGGTTACCTGGAAGGAAAAAAGGATTCGTGCCAAGTAACTATCTCTGAAATATATATGATTAATAAAATGAAATATATGATTAATAAAACGAAAAGCAAAACAAAATATTGTCAAAACATATAAATATACGATAAGAATGCAGCTAATTACGATTTAAGAATATTAAATATTAAAGCAGATATATAGAATATAAGTGTGCGATATAATTCTTTTATAGGGAGACAGCGGTGGACCCCTTGTAGCGGAACGCGAAGACAAGAAATATGAACTTATTGGTGTCGTGTCATGGGGTAATGGATGCGCACGACCTGGTTATCCAGGTGTATACACAAGAGTCACACGCTATATGGATTGGATTTTGAAGAATTCAAAGGACGGCTGTTTCTGTGAGCACAATTGAATATGATTACTCGGCACTCCTTAATGGTAGATATGATGAAAAGCGAACAAAAGGATTTTTGCATATTACCGAATGTTCTTTGAATCTATTCTCAGGATGAAAATAATATCTCGCTGACGATATTTTTTATGCATAATTTATATATTTGACAATATGAACATTATGTTAGACTCGAAACTGATAGACATAAAATATTCTGATTATTACATTATAATAGTATAATATTATTTTCGCATTTTGATTTATTGTTATTATTTCCTATCGCTTCTATCTATCTATTAAGTGACATAAACGATCAATATATGAATAGAAATAATATTATAGAGAAATCATTGTAATATTAATTATGTTACCAGAAAAAAATGTTTGTGGAAATAATATTATACTACATAATTATTTTATTATTGCTCAAATATGGCCAAAGGCTAAAATATTCAATTTTACTACCAAGGAAATTAAATAGTGAGATTGAGATTGTAGGTTTAAGCTAGCCAGTGTCATATCTTTTATGAAAAATGTTTATTATTAAAATATTTTATATAAAAATGTAATAAAAATTTGAATAAAAAATTATCTCTAAATGCATTTACGTATATTTTTTTACAAAATGTAATATTTATTACATTCGTAATTCGTAACTTTTTATTTTATATTTCGACTTTTAAGCTACTATCTTATTAATTTTAATAAATTTTAACAAATTTTTATAGAATAATTTAGCTTAGTTAAACGTCACATATGTATAAAAATTAATAAGTGCAAAGATTTGTATTACATGATCAAAATTTATTTCTAAGCTTCTTCAAATATCGGAGTTATAAATAAATCTTGTTGATATTAATTGACATGCTGGTCGCGATACCGCAATACCGCAATATCGCATGTAACGGGATCAGCGGACCGGTTACTGATCAGCTTTAAGCCAAAATAAAATATAAAAGAAGCGAAATATAAAAGAAGCGAAATAAATATACACAGATACGAGGATAAAACCCGCAAAGTGCGAATTTGAATGCAAACATAAGGAATATGTGGGATGTTCACTTTATATTCTCGAGGATTTATTTCCTGAGATGCGGGCGATGATAGTCCCGCTATACGACGCAAACCAGTTACTTGAACGAAGACCAGTATCGCTTCGACTACCGACAGAAAAGTCATGAAGCTACAGGATTATGTCAAATTTCTTGTTTGTATTTTTGTAGTGAATTTTGGTAGAACCTTTTGCAACAAAAGCACTATTTCTTCTCTCCGTTCCGTAAGTGTCTCCATATTAATCTTGTTATATTAAATTCTGTTATAGTAATTTATTTTTACAAAATTTTTCTATACACTCTCATAAATTGTATATATTTGGTATTGCAACAAATAGTTATTATTTTAATACATATTCTACATATTTTCATTCTATGTGAATAATGATTACAATGTTTTTTCAATTTTTTTTTCTTTTATATTTTTTGTCCTTCCGGCGAAAACATATTGCTATAATCAAATAAACCTTGTAATGCAAACATATGCTATAATCAAATAAACATTGTAATGCAAACATATGAGAACTCGCAAATGCATTTGTTAACTAGGATAATGATCAAATTGTATCCAGACATGAACGCAGTGTTTTGGATTTACTTTTTGGAAGATTCCGAACTTGTGGTGCCTGCTGTGAGTAACTCTGATAATTATTTTACAATTAAAGAACTATCAATTTAAGCCACAAAGCAAAAAATTTATTTATAATATTTAAAATTAAATATTTTTGAAATTGTAGAAGCATTTTCTTAAAAGCTTCCTATATATTTTACGGTATAAATCAAATAATATTATTGCATTTCTGATTGAAAATACATTTTGTGTTCACAGTTTCGCATATAATTATTTATAATATTCTTTTCGTATATATTTAATTTAAGTTATTATACATATTTGATAAAATATTTCTTTCGATATTTTATACTTGTAGTATGTGGCCGACCAAATCGTAAAGCAACGCGATTTTTGGGTGGTGAATATACAGAATCACATGAATTTCCATGGCTTGCAAATATTCACATAAAGTCTAAGTTAACTAGTGGAATATTGATAAATGATCGTTATGTCATGACAGCAGCTAGCCAAATTATTGGGTTTGTATATATATATATATATATATATATATATATATATATATATATAGAGAGAGAGAGAGAGAGAGAGAGAGAGATTTATATATATATATATATATATATATATATATATATATAAATTATATATTTATATATTAATTATATATATTAATAATATATATTAATTTATAATATGTATATATAAATGTATGTATGTATATATAAAACAATACTAATCAAATAGACTTTTGGAGAAAGTTGAAGAAGAATTGGGAACGAGTCATATGTAATTAATATCTTTTCCAATAGAGCAACAGCACCTGAAATAAAAATATCTTTGGGAGAATATGACAGATGCACGTTGGACATTTCATCAGTAAATATTAGCATCGAATCCATAGTTTTGCATCCAGAATTCAATCCGGATTCACATACTCACGATTTAGCTTTAATTCGTTTAAGTCGACCAACTAAATTTGAAAAAAGAATATCGCCAATATGTCTACCTAATCCAGGTTTATTTAATCTCATAATTGCATTATAATTTGCATTATAAAAATATGTGAATATCTAAAAAATATGTAATATATATTTTACATAAGATATATGTTTTATTTTTTTTAGATATTCACAAATATTTATAATAAAAGTCATTGGATTACATATCCAAATTTTTTTCTCTGTATAGGTTCAACTTATCTTGGTCAAGTTGGAACTTTAGTAGGTTGGACTACGAGCAAGTCCGAAGATAATATTGATACTTGGACATGTAGACCACGAAAATTAGGACTTCCTATTCTAGGATATAATGAGTGCATAAAGTCAGGAATGAATCCGATGAATTTTAATGATGATTATGGATGTATCGGCATTGTTGGTACAAGTTCTTTGGTATGCGAGGTAAATTAAATATATTTTATTATAAATCTACTTAAATTGTATGTTTGAATAAACGCAAATAATATGGCAGTAAAATGATATTTCTTTTAATTTACAATCATTTGTCTTGCGTAAAAAAATTTATTAATTTATTAATATAATATAAATAATTTACAAATTTAATTATATATTATAAAAAATAATGTTATATACTTGTAGAATGATGTTGGGTCTTCTGTGCAATATCGATCATACGCTGGAGTTTACGATCTTATTGGTAAGTATAACCGTTTGCCTTATACGAAAATGATTTAATAAAAAATATAAAGTTACTTTAAATCTTTATATGTAAAAAAGGTACAATTAAATGATAATATATATATTTAAAAATACGTTTTATTCAAACGTGAATCTCTCAATTTATAAATCCCAATCGGACGCGCGATTATATGTATTTTTATGATTATATGTATTTTATGATTGGTACATACATATATGTATATATGTCAAATATTAATTCTTGAGAAACTTGAGGAAATATATGTCGATAAAATGTATGTATTATATGTGTTACAGGTATTATTCCAAGCGTGAATAAATGCGATAATGTTACTAGATCAACTGTCTTTACGAAAATTGGTCCGCGTCTCGACTGGATATTGCAACACACTAAGGATGCATGTTATTGTACTAAATAATCACATGCAAATTTTCTTAATAATATTATACAAATATTTTTACATAAATATAATAACTTACATTTTAGAGAAAACAACTCTAAAATTATTTTTCATATCAAAGTACATCAAACTTGGTATAAGTATATATGTATTACACTTTTTATTATTATTTATACGCACAATTTATATGTACAAAATATGCATAATAAAAAATAATATATATATTAACGTGTTGTGTATGATATTGTAATATTATCAAAATATTTTTGCTCTATTACGAAATATAAAATTGCATCATATTTGTTTAAACATCTCCACTTAAGAATAATTTAAAGACACATACTCAAATTGTTAACATATAATATTCTGATGTTAATGCATTTCTGAACGCACATCTGAATAATTCATGATATTTTACAGGAAACAGTTGTAAACCTTAAATATTATCTTATCTAAGAACTATTAGCGGGTTAAACCACGTCCGCAGTTTACTCATGCACATTAGAATATTATAGGCATTAAAATATTTACAGCACGCATATTTAAATATTGCGCATGTTAAGTCAGTAAGAAAACTTTCGTCTTAGTGTAAATATAACAAGCCTTCCTTTAGCATTACACATGCAGTATTTTACACTAATTAGTTTGTTGTGTTTAATATTTGAATATGCAAACACATTACTGTGGTTTAAACGAATGAATCGGCATACGGATACGTCTTATGAAGATCTCGATTATGAATATTGTGGTAAAGTCTATTTTGAATAATTTCAGAGTTTTTCGCATATGATAAAAGAACATAATGATAAAACATTCCTAATATTAAGTGAAATTGAATATTGAATTTATTATAAATTACTTTTATTTTTTATAAAAATACTTTATTCCTTATAAAAGTTTATTCCTCCTAAAAAATTAAAACGTGATAAATTATTTAGAATATTTTAATGATTTATATATACGTAAAAAAAGATAAAAAAAAAAGTTAAATTACTATAACAATACGTAAATGCAATTAAACTGTTATAAACATATTATTTATGTGATCATTATCCTAGAATGCGGGAAGAAAAATGTATTTTTACCATCATCCAGAATAATTGGAGGACGAGAAGTTTATGAAAATGAATATCCTTGGATGGCTAGTATTATAAGTGTTAATAGATCACAAGTAATTTGTGGAGGATCAGTTATAAATGATCGTTATGTGGTAACAGCAGCTCACTGTATTATTTATGGGTATATATATATATGTTATATAATAATTAATATACATAAAAAATATCATTGTTTCTTATCATAATATGTATTTAAATTAAATAATATGTAATTTTACACAGATAAATTATATTTGCAAAAATTGTCCAAATCTATAATATATATATATATATTTATATTGAATATTTCATAGTTTCAATAAAGATGATCTGAAGGTATCTGTCGGTGCTCATAATTCATGCAAATGGGATGCGAAGAGTACAATTTTTTCTGTTGAGAATATTTTTCCACATCCAAATTATAATAGCCAAACAAATTTTGCTGATATTATGCTGGTTAAATTAATTATGCGAATTGCCTTTAGCAAATTCGTTAGACCAATTTGTTTACCAAAACCTGGTAATTATTATAATCTCATCATATATATGATATATATTAATATACATACATATATCTAATTAGCACTAAATAAAATTTACAATTCTATAAAAAAATTAATAATTGCTCCTAACTTTTTTCTTTAAACAGGACTTAATGTTGTCTCTCAATTTAAAGAACAATCCGTATCTGCACTTGGCTGGGGATTCTCAGAAACTGACTCTTTATTTAATAAAGAATGTGGTTTACGTGTAGTGGATTTAACATTGTTTAAGCGATCGGAATGTCCTACCGACATCTCGAGTTTAATCTGCGCAGGATTTAAAACATCACCACGCGGTACTTGCGGGGTATTTAATCAATTGTAGCATTATCATAATTAGCCATAATTTAATTTCTATTTTGTATTAACATTAAATCATCTAAAAAGTTATCATACATACATTTCTATCTCTATTATACATACATTTCTCATGTATAATATTTCTAAAGATATAGATATTATTTCTTTAATTTTTAAGTATATAATCTTTTATGCGCCCTAGAGTTTAATAATTTTCTTGATTTTTACTTTTAATTATTAAATTATAATAAGCAATATTACAATTATATAATATCCCCTTCTCCCTAAAAATTTTCAAAATACTCTCTCTCTCTCTCCCTCTCTTCTTTATTCCCTCTTTCTATTTCTCCCTCTCCCTCTTTTTTTGATTATATAAGTAAATTTTATTTTTTGTACATTTATTTTTTTAGAAAAAGTATACATATACATATACATACACATATGTGTATATGGATAATATATTTTAATTTTTAATTTATACAGAATACTTAATATATAATATTTATTAATTTTACTTAATGTTTGCAATAAAATTAATCATATTAGTTAATTAATTAAAGTTATATGAATAAAATAAGTATAATATTATATTAGAAAATTATAATAAATTATAATTATAAATATAATTCAGGGTGATAGTGGTGGTCCTCTTCAAATATTAAAAGATAATCATAAATATATTTTAATAGGTGAGTTATAACATAAATAATAATTCAATAACTATATATATAATATGGAATTAATAAAGTTTGTTTTGCAGGAATTACTTCAAATGGAGTATTATGCGCCAACGTTAATTATCCAGATTACTTTACGGATATCGCGCAAATGGTTCCATGGATATTGCAAATAACAAAACATGATTCGAAGTATTGTTGGCATTAATACATAATTAATGATCATTTTTTACATATCTTGTAATAATCTTTGTAATATCATATACCTATAATTTTATAATCATTTACAACGTTTTTCGATAAGAGGTGGGATAAAGAAATAAATAAGTAAATTTCATTTTTAAATACATAAGATAAAATTATTATGATTATTTTAGTGAATTTCTCAACACCTAGTCCGCAAATATTTACAAATTTCTCACAATACGCGTCGACCGTTTATCAGTTAACATACAACATAAACCTAGACGTCTTCGTTGACCGCTTTTCTATTGTACATAACTCATAAAATGTTCTCGTAAAATTTCCGGTATATATTTCTGCTATATATGACCTAATCGATAACGTCTATGATATGGTATCTGCAGAACCGTGTCAAGATTCGTTCGTATTTACGACGAGGGAAGCAAAAAAATGGTAACTCACCGATAAATGTTCACTTAAGCTTAAGAAATATTAAAAATTATATAGGCAATAATACTGTTATAATTATAATTTTATTTATGTTGTATCGTAAAATTATTTGGCAATTACACAAACCTGCGAGAGCTAATTATAAGGGACAGAATAGGTGAATGTAATAGATTTTTTGACGCTGAAAACGAATCTGACCGCACAATTTCCCCAGCATGTCAAATTTTTGAGTAATTTGTAGTTAAATAGTTCAAAAATGACTATTTCAGCAAATTTTATAAATTTATTATGAGGAAACCTAATTTTTTGAAATATTTCTAACAATTATTCAAAAATCTAACGTGCTAGAGAAATTCTGCGAATAGATTCGTTTTTCGCGTCAAAAAATCTATCAGATTCATATACTCTGTTTTTTATAATTCACAAAACCTAGAATTTCGCACACAGCTTGTGTTATTAATGAAATCATTCTTAACTTATACACATTCATTGCATTGAATTTTTCACATATTCTGAATTTAAATATTACATAAAAGACAATTATTTTCTCGGATTTTTCTTCTTTTTTGATTCTTTTCAAATCTTCCGCTTTTTTCTTCATGCACTGACTTTGGCTACAAGCATATAATATATAGAAAGTACTTAAGAATTTATCTCCCATATACTATCTTAACACTCAACCTTCTTTCCAGCTTTTTCTGAGAATAATTTATAACGCTTTCAAGAGAAAATCGAGCAATCTGCAAAATCTGCAAAGAATTTCCTGAAACATAAGACATTTAATATAAAAGTCTAGATAAAGTTCATATTGAATTATATCAAAAATATTATTTCATTACAAATTGTTTTATAAATACGAAATAATATTTTCTTCCATCATCGCAGAAATTTTGTTGTAAAGAAATTTTTATGTATATAAAAAATTTTTATTGTTAAAATTTTTATGTATAAAAAAAATTTTTATTGTTATGAGAAAGAGAAAAAGAACATTTATCTTATAGAATTTATCTTATAGAATATATTTTTATCATATTTATGTCCAATATCTCCCTTTTAAGATTAATTTGAATTGTATAGCTTGCAATGTATTTCGTATTGTACAAACATTCGTTAGAATTTGTCATTCGATGTCAAACGTTAATAAGAATAACGATTTACGAGTACATGTTTCTTACGATATAAAACGTCGACGAGACGATACGCTTACCGATAGTTCGACACCGAAATTGGTTACCGTTGTTATTCGTAGATTAATATAGAAATAAAGTGTTCTCCGCTATCGCATTCAGTAGTTGCATCGGTTTTAGCAGATGAAATGTCGCAAGAGTCGCGCAGCATGAAGTCCCATTTAATTTTGATGGTCTTGATTGGAGTCCTTCTAATCCTAGACGTTCGTTGAGAGAGTAATTAAGTGAAATTATCATGAGGACAAATTTGAACGAAACACGGTTGATAATTCACGATTTACTGAATAATTACATTGTGCTCATTTTCAGGCGTCACGCGCGTCAAGACATCAGCTACGTCTACGAGTAGATCCAAATTGTGGTAATCATTATGCAAGTAATACACGCATATATGTTCAACGAAGCTCTCGTTTGCACGAAAAGTGAATAGACGCTAACTTTAAATTACTATCATTCTGGAGCACTTTGTTATTTTACTTAATAAAGATTTCAATTCAATTAATTTTACGTTAATTAGACTTTATATCGATAATAATACCAACAAAACCATATATGTTACATACATATATGTTACAAAATTGCAAAATAAAAAAGTTGACAATAAAGTCCACAATTAAATTTATCTGAAAAATTTCTAAAAATATGCACAAAAAAGTATACAATATATATATTGCATAATATTATATACATTTATCACATGTTTCATATACATGTAAAATTTTAACCGATTTATTGTCTTTGCAACATTTAATCTCTGCATTTAATCTCTTTGTAATAGAATGTGGAGTATCGGGAGGAATATCAAATCGCATTGTCGGTGGAAATATAACAATCCCGCATATATTTCCTTGGGTTGTAGTAATATACAACAAAAAAATTCTTCATTGTGGAGGCACATTGATTAATGATCGATATGTATTAACTGCCGGACATTGTGTTAAATGGTATTTATCTTTCTCTCTTTCTCTCTCTCTCTCTCTCTCTGAAAAAAACATTATCATCATATAGTTTCTTGGAAAATTTATATGCAGTATATGCTCTTATATATGTAATATTAATATATATAATTACTTTATGATAAAAATAATGATAAATTAGAAAGAAATATATTAGATAGATCTAAAGAAAACATATAAAATAAAATTCTAAAACATTTATAATTTTAAATACATTAGCTTTCTCAATATGAAACGTTTATAATAATATTGTTAAAACAAAAGATTTTAATCAATTTTATTAAATATACTATTTTTTATTCTGGTATAATTATATTATCGTAAATATAACGCGATCTTGTAAAATTATTATTATAAATAATAATTTATTTATAAATAATAATTTTACAAGGCTGTAAAATGTATTCTGATTCTCCCTCGTATTTTCCTGTGAGTTGTATAGGGTTCAATCTGCCGATCTCACAATCGGCTTAGGAATACACGACATTGAAAATTCAAACGAAGGATATATAGTTCAAATTGATAAAATAATCTTACACGAAGACTTTGAAAGTGATGATCTCCATGATACAAATGATATTGCTCTGATTCGGCTACAAGATCCAGTTGAAATCAATGAAAATGTGAAACCTGCATGTCTTCCGCATAAAGGTCAGTCTCTTTCTACAATATTACAATAATTCTTACAATACTTAATATTTGAACGAACATTTGAATTTGAGAAATTTATAAAAATATTTATAATTCTTTTTTCCACATATTTCAAAATTTCTGACGAATATAGAAAAGAGTAGTAAAAGTAAATTTTCAATGATAGAATCCGATTACACGGGATACCATGTTAAAGTTACTGGATGGGGACGTGTTCAAAGGGAAGGAAATACATCCAGATTTCTGCGTCAAGCTACCTTAAAAGTGATGTCCTGGGCCTCATGTAGAAATACTTCATTTGCAGAGCATCTTACGAAATCGATGATATGTGCTTATAATGACAATACTGATGCATGTCAGGTATTGTCTCACATCATGCTCAATTTAATTCGTTGATTCTGGATATTCTGGGATCAAAATAATATTATATCCATTGTATAGAATTTTTTTACATATATCTTTAAAGAAATTATTTTCCTACAAATGTTGTTTCAAATTATATCATATGAGTTTAAAAATTAATACAAAAAGTCAAGTTACATTGTTTCTTCGATAAATACATATGTATATCTCGCATTTTAATGATATTAATAATATTGAAATTTTAGGGTGATAGCGGTGGGCCTCTTTTATATGAAAAAACGGATGGAAAATATGAAGTAATTGGTAAGAGTGTCATATAATTTTTTATGTAAGACATTTTCCATCTCAACAAAAATAAAGAATGATTACAAATATTATTTTTAAGATTGTTAAAAAACATTATATATGCAATTATCAAGATTATTTTCTAATGATGTGACTTCTCAGAAAAAAATATTTTTAACTTCCTTTGTCATTTCTAAGTATAAATGATTTTTCCTTATAATTATACATGCAGTCTTATAATTATGTATAATACTGAAACGCAAAATTTTCCTTCAACATACGTACATTTTGTTATCATATTTTTAATATTGAATATTAATGAAAAAGATTTATCTTGTGAGATCATGTCATAAATTATGTCACAAGATTTAATTCATTCATGTAAGATTATCTTCTCCATGATTCTAACAGGAATAGTCTCCTGGGGTATCGGATGTGCCGAACCTGGAAACCCTGGCATATATGTGAAGAACACGGATTATGTGAACTGGATAAAATATCACTCTAATGACGGTATTTATTGCATAGATAGATAGATTTCATGCAATAAATATTAATAGAAATAAATGTAAAAATTTAATACTAAATTTTATTTATTTTAATCATATATATAAAATATAAATATTCCATGAAATATATATTCGAAATGTGAAAATTTTATAAAAAAATTCTTATACATAAGGACTATGTATTCATAATCATTATTACTATGTATTCATAATCATTATTCATTTAATCACGAAGTTAAATATTATATCTTATTCGATATATAAATAATCTAAAATACAAATTTGATATTTGCAAGTTATATCAAAGAACAGCATCTCATTATAAATGTTAATACAGTTTGTAATCACTATTTTTTCTATTTCTGTTGATGGATTTCGATGGGCAATTTTCAATTTTATTTTATCATCCATATAATTTATAACTTTTGTGTCGATGATAACGCAATTGTTTGAAACAGTCAACGTTGATTAAAACGCATATGTCTCAGTCTTACTATAACCGATGATACGCTAATCTAAAAAAAACAAAACCTTTACGTAGCATATTATTTTTCTTAAAGAGTTAGATATGTAAGATATTCCATAAAATATTTTATTTTGTTAATGACAGAATCTTTATCCAATTTTCTTTAACTAAAATATTGAGGAAAATTAGCATTTATTAATCGAAAAATTAATATAAAAAATTCACAAAAGTTCTACGAATTATACATTAATATCTTGAACAATTAAATATTTTTATTTTGTTAAGACAAGTAGTGTCTGCAATTTAGTATTGCTTTGTATAAATGTGCTTATTTTATATGTACATTTATATTTTAAAATGTATATAAATATAAATTATACAATTACTCATAATATAATTAATATAATATAATATAAATTATACAATTACTCATAATATATTAATATGATCATATATTAACATATATCAAAATGATAAAAATATTAACTAATATAAAGTAGTATAAGTAATAAAGAAATAATTATGAAAATAGTTATTACATTGCAATTTAGCTATTAAATGTTATATACAAATAATTATATTACTATAAATAATTATTTATTTCCAATAATAATAAAGAAATTAAATATAAAATAGAAGTAGCACTTGCAAAAAGAAATATGATAATTAAATGAAATTAAATTTTGCGACTCCTATATTATTTTTGAATTTAAAAATCCTGTTCGTCTTCTAATATCATTTATTTCATATTACTATACATATTTTAAATCCATTATTTATAAATTGTATTGTATTGTACATTTATAAATTGTATTGTAAAAACTTACAATAGTAGCAGTGAATTATAATTAGATATAATTGGACGGTTCTTCTTATGTTGATGAATATAATATCAATTAAAAAATATCACATAAATATCGTTTAGTTAAAAACTAAATATTTTAATAAGCTTTCGAAAAAATTAAAATTTCAAATTAAAAGATCAACTGTGCATTTTAGTAAATCATAGTGCATATTCAATATTGCATATTAGAAGCTTTTTTTTGTTACAAGAAACCAAAAACGAAAAACGCATAATACAAATAAAAATAAAATATTAAGTAACATCATTTAGTAAGCATTGTAAAATGTAGCAATTACTGAAACAATTATTAAAAATATGGAAAGGATGTATGTACACACATTATAATATTTATACACTGCATAAGGTTATATAAGAGCGAATAAACAGAAACGTAAAAAAAAATTTAATAAAGGTTTATTCAAATTTTCCAATATGATATTCTTGAAAATGATAATCTGATATCTTTCTGTTAAATATGTATTATGAATTCAATGTCTTATAAAACTTATATATTAGCTATATCCATATATATTAATTTCTTAAAGCATATTTTTTCTGCAACAATAATACATTTAGCAATTAATAAAAAGTAAAAGATATTTATTATAGACATTATTATTTCATATATTTTTAAACTTGAAAATATAATATAGTTTCATAAGATCTTTTTCTATCTGCGAAAGGTACTGAAATATTAAGGCGAATTAATTAATTTTTCGACAATATATGTAATTATTTTAATATGCATAATCGCTTCAAATGATTTATCAAGAACCATAGCTTTCCAATTTAGTTATTCATATTCAAGATGGATCCTATTTTAATGAATCTTAAATCTTTAATGAATCTAGATTGTTCTATTAAGAATATTTATGAATAAACTTTAACATATAAACTTTAATTTTTAAGATGAAATTTGATAATATAATAAATAATATATTATAAAAGAACAGAACTACATTAATAATATTTGAACATTAATGCTCTAAGTAATAAAATTAATAAATGTTACAAATTAATGAATGCTATATATAAATGAATATCACACAAATTAATGCTGATACTTATTAAGCAAAAATACAATTTGAAACTATTACATATACATAGTGTGTGCGTGTGTATATACATATATGTTATCTAATTAATTATTCATTATATTACTATAAATAATTAAAGGATTGTCTGACATATTAATTTGTGTAAAAATTAGTTATATTTAAACATAATATATTTTTTATAATTATAATTTTAACAAATTTAGATATATATATATATATATATATATATATATATATATATATTGTGATAAATTGTTAAATTCACAAAATATGTATATATATACATATATATATATATATATATATATATATATATATGAAAAAACTTATTATTATTAAACAATATTTTTATAATATATTATAATCTACTTTATGTAAACAACCAATGGATAACACAAAATCATTTAAAAACTGAAAAATATTAAATATTAAATAAAGTTTCGAAATAATTTTGTTTCATGATTTTAGAATATTTAAACTTTAAAGAAAAAAAATTTTTTTGCAGATTTCCATAATATACTATTAATAAACTATATTTTAAATCTTAAATTATGCATTCGATTTAATAATTTAAAAAAAAAAAAATATATATATATATATATATATATATATATATATAATTATGTGTATTAATTGTATGTTAATATCATTTTTTGAAATACATCGTATCATCACGTATATACATAAAATATACATATATATATTGTATATAAATTTTGCTGTCGTGATGGGTCAATATACGATTTGCTAAAATATAAATAATCTTTAGAAAATTAAATGATATACTAAGAAAAAGTATGTGCTTAAATACAAAATATATATTACACTTGCAATACTATAATACAGATATAAAAATTCGTGACATTTTACTCGCGTTAATATATGACATGAGTAACATTAGCGTTACATTGCGATGTAACAGCTTCTTCAAGCGTACAGTCCAATTTTCGGTAATTAGCCGTGCTTGGTCGTCGTCTACTACGATTACTTCTGGATCTTCGACCCTCTAATACAATAGCAAGTATCTAAAATATAAAGAAATTGATAAATGAAACAAATTAAAAACAATAATACACAATGCTATATAAATGTGTATGAATTAAGCTCACCTTCTGCTTATTATGATAACCTATATATCCAGCAATACATGCCACTGTAATCACAGTGAAGTAAGTAAAGAAATGAGAATCATCCTCTGTTCTTATATTGGGATTCCGCAAATTCTCCTGTTTAGAACTTTCTGCATTTTCATTTTGATTCCCTTTTAAAAAAATGTATATATAAGTAGATCATTATATATAATTAATTAATATAAAAACAATTGTGCAGCATTCTTACCTGTTGATTGTTGATTTGTATCTTTATCTGTATCTGAAAATTAAGTAAATAATATACATATATTATATACGTGTATTACATTTATAAAAAAAAATATTATAAAGTACATTATTTGTAAAAATAGATTAGTAAATATAAGATATACATTTTATATTTAAATATACATGTGAAATTTAATGTTCTTTAACAATAATTATGTACATACTTCTATATAAGTTATTTTGTACAAAAAATTGACACAAGTTGATACAAGTTGATTATTTTGTACAAAAATATTGACACAAAATATATAATTATATAAACATATGCGATTCTCCAATCAATTTTTTTAACTTTTATTCAAGATATAATCATTTTCAATTTTCAAATATTTTCAAAAATAAATTAGATAAATATAAATTTATCAACATTAATACCTTCTATATTGCTAGTTTCTATATCTCTAGTAGTGTCTATATCTCCATCTGAATTTTTAACATCTTGTATATAATCTTGTGTATTTTCAGATAATGTACTAGTTTTTAAATCATCACTATTTTCTTCCTTAAATTCTTCTCCTTTTTCTTTACTTATATCCTTCTTTGGCACATTACTTGTAGGATTGTTCATTGATGAAACTTGCAAATCACTTGGAGGGATTGGAAGGATAGTTTTTATAGGTTTCACAATTTTAACAGTTTCAGTTTCATCAATCTTTTTATTTTCGTGAAGCAGTGGAGATGATTTATGAGCAGATGTTTTTAAATCAGTATTTAATTTCTTTTGGGCCTTATTTAACTTCTCATCATCAGATTTTTCATTCTCCATATCAAGTTCTGCATGTATGGTTGATTCAGTTTGAGTCACATTTAAGGAAGTTTTTTCAACATTACTGTTTTCAGAAATATTAGATATAAGTTTATTATTGTTTCTGTATTTTTCTTCATTGGATTCTTTCATTTCATTAGCTTCTATTGTTTTATACTCTATTTTATTACTTGTTGTCTCATTTATTACAAAATTTTGTTTTGTTCCTGTTCTATTTGCTTTTTTGTCATCATACTTCTTGATCCAAGCAAATACTGCACATAACGGTTTCAATTTATCATCGAAGTCAAAACACATTTTCTGACATTTATTCAATTCCTTAAGCATTTCAATCAATGTTTTCAAATATGAATCTATTTGATTGTATGATGATGTGAATCCTTGTAAATTAACGCAAAAATCCTTTTCTTTTTTCAGAGTTGCATTAAGAACAAATTTCTCCAAATTTAGAGTTAATATTGTTGTATTAGAGTTCTGACTAGAATATTGACAAATCTTATATGCTGCATCATAAAGTCCTAAACACAGGAAAATATTTAAATTCTGTTCATTAAAGTCCAAAGGAACTGTAGGATACGGCAATGATGCACAAAGTTTTGCATATTCTGATTCATATAAACATTTAGATGCCGCACATAGATTTGTGTCATTCTTCATAACTTCGATGATATTCGGTTTCTGGATTATCGATGCCTTCGCGGGAGAGCTTATCACTCCCGTGAAGGAAACAATTAGAATAAGAATGTTTAGCACTAATGCAACATGAAATAAAACGTAACGGTTTTCCATTATTTCCAGAGATAAATTTCCAGCCTCTATTGTGCAAGTCAAGTAAACCGTCTATCAGTTACTCAATATTATTCATAATTTTGTCGCCTTAATTTTTGTGAACACCGATCATTTCCTAAAAAAAGTCTCATACACTCCCACTCTCGCACAGTCCGTATTGTTCTAGGAACGTTGTACGTCGATTAATATATTTTTCTCTTTCATAACCTCTTTTATGTGTTCAATTTTCTTATAATACGTATCCAGACAGAAACTCGAGAGAGCGACCATTTTCGCATTTTTCGTGCAACCAGAGAGAAGACTGACAGATGTCATGGCCTGCTTTTAGATGATCCCTGAAAGCGACACTCTCTCTATGGACATTGAAAACGTGGACATGAACTACAAAGCCAATGTCCATGATTGTTTTCAGAGGGTAATATATAATGTGCACAATTTCTGGTTTCATTCCGTGCTATGTGCACGAAATGCCGGTAACACCAGAGTATAACAAGACACTTATGTATATAAATTGATAGTAAATAAATTATTCAATCGCGAAAGATACTGAATCTTCTAACGTAATGTTCAAAAATGAAATAAATATTTTTCTATATTCATTGTCATATTTATGTTATATTTTTATTTACAAAACACAAAAAATGCCTGCTGTGGAATAAAAACATTTTTTTTAACCGTATTTCTATAAATTCTAATTAGCAGTAAACTTTAATCTTTAATATTTATTAATCATTTTTTTAATTATCTAAAAATTTAATTATTAATACATGTATAGAATTTGTCAAATTAATCACTGATTCTTCTAAAGTTTTTATAATTAAGATTCGAAAAATATAGATGTTATAAAATATTTTAAATGTCTCTTCCTTTATATAAAATATAAAGAATTCATATGTTCCATTTTAATATAGCCAACATTATTTATATATTTTTATTATAATTTTTATACCAGCATAATATTTTTATGATTAATACTTTATATAATACAATGTACTAAATTATAAAATTTAATTATAAAATGTAATTACAAGATAGTATTACTATTAATAAATAGATTGTATGCATACTGTCTTTTAGTTTCTAATCATTTTCAATCACTATGCATTTCTATCCAATATATTCTCTTCTTCGAGTTCTTGGATTATTATGGTTTATTGTATTCCTTTGTGTTAAAATCATAAGCATTACCATTTGTCATGCTTATTCCTTTCTAGGAAGTACTCCCTGGAGTCCAATATTAGAGTCGAAATATTTTCTATGGACATTTGTTCTCTCGGTTATAGATATTTAAATCACTCAGAGAGAGAGAGAGAGAGAGAGAGAGAGAGAGAGAGAAGAAGAAGAAGAAGAGAGGGTTCCGATTTATATCGAATTTGATGTCATTTTAATCGCAAAATTCTCATTATTTCATTAAAATTATTTTCAAAAAAAATAAAATGCATTTTATTTTTTATAGTAAGATAACATACATATATTCGTGAAATGTTATATTAGAGAAAAGAAATCTCGCGTAAGAGATTTCGGAACTCTTTTTACGATACATCATCTCGCTTGCTCTATTCGTTCTCGCTCTCGTTTTCAATGATATCGGGAATTTTTTTGTTACTTATAATAATTTACAACTTTAAATATCCATAAAATAACAACTAAAATTTTTATATTTTATTTAATCTGTTTGAAAATAATTAAAATAGATTAATGAAATGAATTTTTATGTTTAAAATGGCATCAAGCATGACATAATTCAGATAAATTTTCCTTATTGTTAGATAAATAAAAAATTATATCTAATCGAAAATTAATATTCGAATGACAAATGTTGGGTTGTTAATATGATTATTTTTTATTTTTATTTTTTTTTTTTTTTTGCGAGAATCTCGATAACTTTAAAATTATGTTCCATAAGATAAACTATTAAGAAATATAAAAAAATTTAATTTCCATATATTCAATATTATATTTACTGTTTTTTAACAAATAAAATTCAATTTACTGAATTTTATATAAGTTTTATCTCTCTCTTTTCTATTTTTTATGACGAAAATAAAATATCCTAAACAATGTATATTACAACAATGTATATTACATAAAATTTTATTAATAGCATATATTGATGTTTAGAATATATGCTTGAATGGAAAAAAGAAATCGCGCTAACGTTTATTATTAATTACGTCTATATTATCGTCTATATATCGTATATATATACGAGACGTATTTCTGGTCTATAAATTGTGAATGTAGCACGGACATGAACCAAAATCAACTGTTTTATTGGCACCTAAAAGTGGATGTGGCCATGTAGTTCCAGGCAGCATAAAATGGATGTACGCACCGCTAGTGTACGATGTAGGGAAAACGTTCCCTGAAAAATGGCAGCATGGCCCCTCTCAAGCTTCTCTCTGTTAAAGCTTGCTTAGTACTGACATCTGCATTCACTTTCGAGGCTATCTTGAATTAGAACATTGTTGATAAAATCACCTTTTAGTGCTATATCCATGAATTATGGATTAATGGACCACATCAGGAACACATCTCATATATAAATTGAATTATATCTTTTATTAAATGTCTGATGTCTGTGATTTTTATTTATTTTAACATATTGCTTCTAAATTAATAAAAAATAGATAATAATTAAATGAGAAAAGATAATTATACCTTTCATTAAATGTCTGTGATTTTTATTTATTTTATCATGATGCTTCTAAATTAGTAAAGAAACAGATGATAATTTTAAACGAGAAAACTTGATTATTCGAAAGAATCTTGAATTATTCGAAAGAAACGATAGCATTCTCGTTTTTAGGACACTCGGACTTCTGTCTAATATATCATTCGCAGGTTCGTGTCAAATATTGATGCATCGTGAGATAATTGCGCTATCTAAAACATTATTGTTACCTATTCATTGAACATATCAACTAGCCAAGTCAGACAAACAGAAATTTATTCGTAATGTTGATGTATGTATGTTGATATATACTATTATTTATATACCAATTATTCGTATTTTGATTAATAAAGATAAGAAAGGCATACATCAACGAAATATTTTGGTGCTTTCATCAAAGGTATAAAAATTACGTTACAAGGCATAAATTTAATAATCACGATTAATATATTAATATTATACACTCATATCAATCGATTTTTGTGAATCTTTATTTATTATAATATAATTATATAATAATTGTTATACAATAATTTTATAAGAATTTTAAATTTGCTTACATTAATGTTATTGTATTTTTTATTTTTTTAAATTTTTCTAAATATATATATATTTTTTGGGATAATTATAATTATTTAGTGCTTGATAATAATACTCATTAATGTAAATATATCGTAATTATTCATTACACACTTAAAGAAAGACAATAAATATATAATTAAAAAAACAGGTGTACTAATTCTTGAATAATTATTTCTTGTTTCTAATAATCGATTAAAACCAAAGGAATTTTATAATCATACGCGCATTTAATGAATTTTACATTAAAATTCATATAAAAATTAATATAATAAATTAAAATTAATTTACGAACTTTTTTACGATTGAAACAAGATAACCCAAAACAATATGAAATTATATTCAGCACAGTAACCTAAAATGTAACTCTCAACCATGAGAATATTCCATATCAGTTATTTCCGATAATTTTACTATTTTCACAAAATCATAAAAGTTTTATTAAATCATGCAACAACATGAAAGAAAGCACAAATATCGCAAACAGGAAGAAATCGATCCGTTAAAACAAGAAGAAACAGCGCGAAAAATTGCGGCGAAAGAAGCCAAAAGACAGCAAGTCATAGAGGATGTGAAACTTTCTTTAAAACGAAGACGATTTGATAGAATAGCGATAGAAAATGCGCGTTCCGACATAGAAGCAAACATTCGACAGAAAGAAATTAGAGATATGAAAAAGTTACGCGGAGAAAAAACAATGTTGCAGGTTATATCATAACATAAAAAATTTTTACTGCTTCGTATCAAATGAATAAGTTGTTTTTTATGCTTTAAATACCATGAATACTTATTACTTCCTCCCTCTTTTCCCCCTCTCTCTTTTCTTCTCTCCTCTCTCTTGTCTTTATATATATATATATATATATATATATATATACATATATATATATATGCATATTAATCACTCAAAAAAAGAAAGAAAAAATTTATATCTTATTTTATATATATTATATTATATATTTTTATATATAATTTATATTAAATCTTAAAAAAGAGAATTTTTGTCTTTTTTATTTCATATGCGACTTTTTTATTTTATCTTTTTTATTTTATCTTCATATGCATCTTTCATATGCGACTTTTTTATTTTATCTTTTTTATTTTATATTCGACTTATGTTTTAAATACACACATATTAACATCAATTTTAGTAAAAGCTACATTCCATTCTTTCCATGTACATTATCGATATATATACAATATAAATAATCTTCATAAATAAATGTTTCCAATCATAAAATTTTCAAAAAGGAATAATATTTTTGATCTCACATGACAATATTTATGCATATTTTAAATTGTTAATAATAAATACTCAATCGAAAATATTAACAGTTTGTAATGCAACAATAATAAAATGGCATAATTTTATATCATACGTTTATATTTGAAGAGCATGATAAAAGTTATAACGTTATAATAATTATAGAAATAATATTTTAGAGATCTCTACAAAGTCTTTATGCTTTAGTATATAAATTTACGTAAACTATCGAAATTCTCAATGGATACAGATTCGTAAAGATCTCAGTGCTATCATCGAAGCGGGTATAAAATGCATTTGTCCATCAATAATTATACCTAAGAAGATTAAGTATGATGGTCGTACGACGCTAACAATTAACAATGTCAAGTATAAAATAAAAAATAATTTACATATTGTTGGCTGGGGCAAGGAAGTTGTTACAATGAGTTCGGCGTTTGAAAAAGTGGTTGGCAAACAACTGAAAAGAGGATTTATAGTGGTACCTCGCAAATCGATCTCTATGATGTGGAACTTTCCAGAAGCGTTTCCAAAGTTAGACAGTCGTATAACTTTCGTTGAAGCCGGAATGAATGGACAACCAGATGAGAAAACAGTCGAAATTACGCAGAAGATCGTGAATTACTGTAAACGACTGAAAAAACGTGACTTATTGATAGTTATGCTGTCGCGAGATCTAGATGATCTTCTGTGCTGCCCGCAAAATACAATTACATTAAAAGATAAGTTAAGAGTTCTCAACAGGTTAAAAGCTGCTAATGCGACTCTCGAGGAGATCAATATCGTGAGAAATAAACTTTCTGCGATAAGAGGTAAATGGTTTAGTTAGGTGCGAGAAAATTTTATTAGTCGCTTCTCTCTGATGAAACTTTCAACTCACATTTCGATTCTTATGTTCCATCGAAAGTCTAAGCATAATCTTATTAAACAGACAAATGTAATCTAAGACAGATTAATTTCCTCATTACTAATATTTAATATTACAATAAAAATTAAATTACATTGATTATTTGATCTTTCAATTATATTAATGTATTGAAAAAAAAGAAAAGAGAAAAATTATAATTTAAAATATAAAAAATTATAATACAATATAATTTTTTTTTGTTTGTTTCTTAAGTTAAAAGGAAAAAAATTTTCATGTAAAGAAAAAAGAAGAAATTTAAATAATTTTTCAATTATTCTTTTTCTCTTTCTTCTTTCTTTATATATCTAACTTTTCTCAACTATGTCTAACAATATTATCGAAAAGAAACTTTCGTCGTTATTATAGATAGTATAGATAGTTATATATATAAACATGTACCTTTTTCTACGATTCTAAAAGAAAAAAATATAAATTAGATCTTATTAGATCTTTCAATTTTAAATAATAATTAAAAGATTATGGGCAAAATTAAAAGATAATTTTTTCAGGTGGTGATCTGGCACGTTTGGCATATCCAGCCAAAATCATCACTCTCTTCACATCTGACATGTTAGCAGAACCATTGGAACAATTGGGAGGTGGTCCGTGTGTTTACGATCCAAAGAACCAAAAAGCTCTAGCGATTTTGATCAAGTATAAACTTGTCGACAAAGTATCGCAAAACGTACGCGAGTTGTTAGGGGAATCCGGCTCCCGGAAGATGAGGGCGGACGCCCAATTGAACGAGAAGAAGAGGTATAAGTTCGTACAGCAATATGTGATCGCGTGCAACGCCGATGCTATAGAGTGTATGGCGAGGGAAGCCCTTAAATTGGGACTGTCCCCTTTGAAATTAAACTCCACCTGTAGCGGAACCGTCGAGGAATTCGCGCAGGAATACGTAAAGATCGCGTCGCTAATGATCCTGGCGGTTGAGAACAAAATTACCAAGTTGGAGATGTACGAGCAAATGAAGGAAAGTCCGATATGTCCTCTGACCGACCGGAAGGTGTGGGAGATGTTTCCTACGAAGGACAAATGGAGTTTGGGACTATGTCTTTTGCTGGGAGGTCGACCAACCTTTAATCTCGGCGAGAATTCCGGCAAGAGTGGTCCCAATCAAGAGCTCGCCCTCTACTTTTCCTTATATTGGTACATGCGTACAAAGCAATATCCAATTTTGCGAGGATACACCGTCTGGTTCCTCGGCGGTAGCTCTTACGGAAGAGACGGCAATACCAGCGCATCTGGCGCATTCGGATACAAGAGCCTCGCTACTGACATTCACCCGGAATACGAAAAAGCAAAGAGTATATATAAGACTGCCTTTCTAAAATGGCGGAAGCTCGCCGAAGATAAACAGAGCGAGTCGAGGATCGTGGTAAGAGCGCGACAGCGATAACCTACTTTATTTTTTATCACGCTCGCGTACAGCCGAATAAAGCGGAAGCGATGAAATATTGAAACATCGCGCACTGGGGGAAGTCGATGATATTGTCAGCCAGACGCGGGGAAAAAAGGGGAGAGGAGGGTTTTCAATGCAGAACACTTTGCGAAGCACAATGCATAGAACTTTAGATTTGTATTATTGTGGCATTGATTCGCAACGCTGTAATTCATGCGAAATCTTTTTGCAGAAAGCTCGCCAAACGATGAAAGACGCGGAGGAAATGAAGAAGAGGTATGCCGCTATTCTACCGGAACGAGTTTTAAGGGAAAACAATACAAATTTGTTTTTCTCGAGTATCAACAACGGCGACGAGTTATTACAATTAAAGAGAGAAAATTATTACATGCTCGCGGATGTCGGAGATCTTCACGTTATACATATCGCCCGTTTCCAGTGCAACTGCAGCGGTACCTGTCACGTAGACGAAGATAGGATATACGCCGATAGAGACTATCCTGTCAATCGTATGTTATCGGCGACGGTAGTCCCAGTGTTACAATATTGTTGTCGGGTCGCAGCACCGAAGAGCCTTTGATTATTTACGACCCTGTTGTGTGCCAGATTTTGTGATGGATTTTACTCCGTTTTCCTCCAAATTCATACACGACCTGATTTCTTGGATTAATGTATAGACATCTTATTTCCGATTTAATATTTCACATATCGAACATTCATAAATCATTTAAAACATATTTGCGTTAATAATGCATATTTAATTTACCAACATGTAACTATACATTATAATAAACATCAAAACAAATTCAATAAATCAATTGTGCAATAAATATATATAAATAAATATCATGTAGAAAATTTTATTACAACTTCCAACTACATTGCTGCTATATTTGCGCTTTATCACGATATATTTTTAAATCTTAATACGTCTTTCCAATTCAATATGAATATTTTATTGTCGATAGTAATAAATTGTATGTTCTGAAAGCAGCTACAGATCTATTATACATATCTATTTTTAAAATTTACGATGCCGTATACTTTTCTTATTTTGAGATTCTATTATAGAATTCAAAAAATCCTTCTACGCTATATAAAATGCATTAAAGATTTATTTATTAAATTAATTATTAAATTATTATTTATTAATTAATTATTAAATTAAATTATTATTTATTAAAAAAATATTTTTGCTGTAATATAAGACACAAAATAAATTTATTACGAATAGAATTATTACAGTGCACTCAATACTTGAACTCTAAGTTTATCAAATGTAAAATTATGCTAACATTTTATCTTTCCGCTGTTTATACTTATTGATAACGTATTGATTTTTATAGCCTCATATTGCGCGTTATTTGACATACAATAGCATTTATAATAAATCCAACAAAAATATTAATGCTGTAAATGTTAATGTTAATTATGTCTATACAATTAAAATCATAAGCTATAAATTACTCCGATTTAATTTATTATGCAAATTAAGTCAATAAATCTGTTTTGTAAATCAAAAATTTGTCAACGATAAAATAATTCCTATTGAGTGAGATCGACTTTTTGAGCGAGAACGTACGAAACGAAAGTCCCAAGAAGCTCATTTCGCCCTTCCTTGACATAATAGAGATCTTCTAGCTCGGCATGTCCCCTGGGATCGGTATCAATCCCGTTCAACAAAGCCCTGGGAATGGACTCACCTACCGACGACATATCCGCGATACGGCGTAGTTCTGTGAGTGCGTTTCTTTCTTACGTTTCTTTGTGACCAAATCCAAAATGCCTTTGAGAATACCACTTACAGAATGCGTGTGCGAGCTTCTTGTATTTAACATTGCTCAATTTAATTCGGTTAAGCTTGTCTGCTGTTGGGAAAATTGTAGCAAGATATCGATGTCGGCAACAATAATTCTAATAAAAGCAAAAAAGGTGAATTTAAAAAGAAACGCACTTTAATTAAATTTAATTGAACTATTTAATCTGTTCGTAATTTAAGAAAAAATAATTTTGTAATATTGCATTAAAAAAATTAAATTTAAATTGCAGACTTATGTTGAATTTTTTCGAACCTATATTATAAAAAATTACTTGTTTTATTAGTAAATAATGTAAAATTTAGCTATAGAGAGAAATGCTAAAATGTGTTTTGTACACAATATAGTTTATGAATTTTACTACTTTATTCATTAATTATCAAATATATTGTAAATATTGCACGCTATCGTCTTTAGCTCATATAAAAAAGCATGATTACAGAAAACTATATTATGTAACGTGGGAATAATCAAGCGCAAGATGCAAACAGTTTCACAATTTTATCTTCATCTCTGACCTTACAACTATGCGAAGCATTATAAATTTAGTTCGACATTAAAATTTCTTCATAACAGTTCGTTGAATCTCTCTCGTGTAACAACATATATTACACAATGAAACGTTTTGCAGTGTTCTGCATTTTCCTTCTGTTCGTGCATTATTCAATGCAGATTCCTAAATATGGTATGTAACTTTACTATGAGATCCTGTAAACTTATTTATTCGTTTTCATACAATGCGTATAGGATAATTTAAATAAGTTTGCGAAAATATCTTATATCTTAATCTTATATCTTATACTTTATATCTGTTTCTGCTAAAAGAATTAGATTATTAAAAGATCTAAATGTATTCTTTAACTTCTTTTTTGTATAAATAATAAATAAAATAAAAGTTTTTTTCAATTATATCATTTCATCTAATCTTTTATCTTATACATATTAATATTTATTAATATTTGCATGTGTATATGTATGTGTATAAAAATATTCAAAAATCATTTAAAAAATCAATTGTATATCCTGCATGTAAAAGAGATATTTTTTCCTTTCATATTTTAATTTGTCATAAAAATTATTATAGAGAACTGTGTTAGTGAAGTACTTCCTGCAGGAGATCAGCAAAGATGTGTGAAAGTAACATGCACGTCGCAGAATAAATACAATATAGAAGAGTAAATAATTTATAAATTATATAACAAAACTTAATATTTCCCTGTACATATTGGTTTCCACTAAAAATTTCAATTATTGATCTAAGGTTGATATATATTATTATTTGCTTTAGATGTAACTGTAACAAGAATGCAGGACAACATCTTGGAGAACGTCATTCTGAATACCCTGTTTGCTGTCCACGATGTAATAAAAAACATTAAATATGTAATATAAATGTGCGATTTTTCTAAATTTTTATATTGTGTGTGAATATATGATTAAAGTGTCATTAATTTTATGCGAACAATAAATAAATTCCGTCTTCATTTCATCATCATATATATGTATATATATATATATATATATATATATATATACACACATACATAAAATAGTATATACACTCGTACAGTGTGTTCTATATTTACATATATTTATTTTCTATATTTAGAAGGAACAGAAATAAAATTATAATTGTAAGAATTAAATTAATTTGACAATCTTTATATAATTTTAATAAATAACATATTCATAAAATTATATATAAATAACAATAATTATAAATAATAATAAAATAACATAAAACATAACAAAAATAACATAACATAAACCATATGTAGTTTTAATGAGCAAATAAAAAGATTATTATATATGTATATGTATTTAATTATTGTAGAAATAATATAAAAAAAATCAAAGATAGAAATTTATATTGTCTTTACACATCGGAGATTTATCAAAATGCAAAACTTTATGAAGAATGGTTCTCCGGAGTATAATGGCCAGCGAAATCTTGATTAAGCATGAAGCGGAGTATATTTCACGTAGTATAGAGGCAACCAACCAAGAGGAGCCATCGCTGTACATTTGCATGTCTCTGCAGAGAAGCCACGGCTAAATATGCACTGCTCGTTACTTAACCAACCACCAAGCAGTGTCGGTGAAGCTCTGCCTTTGCAACTATAGATTCACCGCGAAATTCTACCGTACTTACACGCACCGTGTCGTTTTCCGCGATTTCATGTTGAAACGCCTTAATTCAAACAGGTTTGATTAATTAGCTCGACATTTTTATGACGTAAAATTACAGAATATTTTTTTCCTCTGAATTTTTTAGAATATTTTTTTCGTCTACCAAAATATTAGATACATTTTAAGTTCTCTGAAATTAACATGGAAATATTGTTAACGCGAAACTAAAATTTTTATATGTGATAATTTCATAAACGCTTGACGTTGATACTGTATTATATAACTCTAATGTTCTATCTAAAAAAATCTCTATGCGCTTTTTCCGGTTAAATCTACAATGCAAATCGAATGGCGGATAAAAATGCTCGCGAGCGAGACTTGAAGAGACGACATATGCTGTGTAGGTACATTTTTTTACCCTAGAGATCTCCAACTAAAATACATGAAATATAAGAGGAACGGCAAATTTCCATATAAATCTCAGAATTGTTCTTTTGCACTGGAAGAACTGACAGACTATGAAATAAGCGTTAGCAATGATATATTGCCCTAAAACAGATTAATCTAGTTGGCTTGATACCAGGGTTACGATGCTGCCTAAAAGATATGCGATGTGAGATTTTTCTTCATTAAAGTTGCAATACCAGTACACTAAACAAACGTTTAAATGACGTGTAATTTATTCTACTAAAGGAAAAAACTACTTTCTCGTAGGCAAACGTTTTAAAACGTTTCTTCGAACAAAGTTAGCAGAATGTTCCAAGACTTTATCTTAAAGAATGTATCTTGAAGGGGAGAAAATGTAATTATAATAATAATGATAACAAGATATTCAAAATGTGCACTATACAATAAATACTAAAAGTTAAAAACATTTTTTAATATATAGCTCTATAGCTGCATGATAAATAAATATATGCCTATG